GTTTCCTTCAAACCAAAATCTCGTACCAAACAGTTTTTGTCATATGGAGAGAGTCCAACAACAGTACAGTAGTGGGGGGAAATTGAGTTAGCTGAGGAATAAACAGTCACGAGGGGAAGAAGGTCATACACACTTTGCTCTTTTACACGAACGAACAAACAACCATAGGACCAGAGCCCAGCAAAAAGCCAGAGATATCTGAGAGAATAATATTTATTCTCTTCACTTACTACCTCTTTCTTTCACCTTTTTCCCATCCAACAACCAACACTAGTATACCATATCCCTGCCTTTCCCACTCCCTTCCATAATATACATACACATAATATTAATTAATTAATGATATCCATATGGGTTCAGTTTTGTTTTGTGTTCACATGATTTACTTTGGATTACATTAGGTTGCTAAAACCTCACAGCTAAACCCCTTATTAAGAACTAACTTACAAGAGAAAGAAAACAGAGGAAAATAGCAGCATCAGTTTGCTAGCTAGCTAACTCTTGGCTAGTGGCTACTGCAATGTGTACACTTTCATTTCTTGCTGCTGAAGGAAAATGGGTAAGTGTTATTCTCATCTGATTAAAACTCTTCATACAGGGCTATTACCAGCTGGATAGATAGAGAGAGAAGGATGGTGCTGCTTCTTTTGCCCCCTTTGCTTCATCATTTGTGATCATGACTCCCATCAGAATTCTCTAACATCGTTTGCTTGTTACTTGTCCGGAGGGAGCAGATGAAAAGGGGGGTTTGGAACGCGGAGAGGGGTGGGTCGTTGGTTCGGAATAGCTCAGGAGGGATAGACAAGGAAGGAGAAGATGCGTTGTACGGAAACAGGAAGCTGCCATCCATGAAGTCTGCGTATCAACATCTAAATGCAGAGCCTACAGAATGAGAATGGCTAGACTAGACACGCAGGAGACGGGGTCTTACAAGGTCAAGAAAAGGTCTTACAAGGTCAAGAAAAAAAAAATCGAGAAAACGAAAGAAAAACAAAATTGGATAGCGAGAAAAAGCTCAGGTAGGATAGCACCCAAATCAGCATGAGCAAGTCACCATTCCGGACCGAAACCCGACTTGCTCATCATCAACATCATCACCAGCAGCAGGTAGAGTATTCCCTGCAATCGTAGGTAAGAGATTAGAGATGTGAGCCAATCAATCTCTCCATGGATTCATTTCTCATGGGAATGGAGAATTTGTCAGTGGGTTGACCTTCCATGATGGTGAGTGATAATGATAAACAGTAAGAAAGGAGTTCTTCATTCTTTCATACCTTGCAGAAATTCATGCCTTGCTTTCATGTCTGGAAGCTTTTCTCTCTCCTCCATATTGACAGAAAATGGCAACGGACAGAAGAAAGTTGGAGAGAGATTGAGAGGAGAATAGCAGCAGCAGGGGGAAGGAAAGGAGAAAGGTTTTCGGAGAAGGGAGGAAAGGGCGGAATTGGGTTTATAATGCGAAAGGGGGGAAGAAGGGACGGAGGTGGGCCCGTTTCACACTGGGCTGCGTTGATGGACCTGACAGCGACAGGTCCAAGGCCCAGAAAGAATAAACCCCGGCTATCTGGTGACGTCGTGAGCTCTTGGGAAGGGCACTTTTTTCTTGTTTGCCCGTGCTGCCCGGAATAATGAGGGGTAGCCGTGGCTCAGTCCTTGCATGGTTTTTACTTATTTACCTACGGGGTTTAATTTTTACCAGTGTTATTAAAGTCGAGCCGAGTCGCTCGGCCCGACCAGTAAAACCGCCACCCGATCACAAAATTGGCTCGGATAGTCTAAAAGTCGCTCCGGTTTTGTGTAGCGGTTGATGAGCGGTCGAGGCGGTTAACCGATCGAGCTGCTCGTCCGGTTTTTGCCATTCATCCGTTAAATTTAATTAAAAAAATTGCAGAAAATTGAAATAAACCAAAAACGTCAGGCTCTCAAACTAAATCCTTATTTCCATTTCACAATTTCGAAGGAAAGAGACAGCTCTGATTAAGAAATGTCCACTATTTATACTGATAACGTTTATTAGGTACCGATTCTCTAATGGTTTTTAAACGGTCTAATGTCGGTTGGACCACTAAAATACGAGCCGTTCGAATTACCGGGTCATGCTATGGTTCGGTTCTGACAACATTGTTTTTTACTGCGTGGAGTGGGAGGCTGGACCGTACCATGAAATTGCTAAATGGTCATATTCCAAATTTCTATGATGTAGTGATGGACTTTCTTTTTTTCATTTGTTTACGTCCATTCGGCCAAGCCAAGGTTGGAGTCAGGAAGAGCAGAAGGGTTGTCTCTCCAAATCTTTCCCCTTTATTTTCTGATCAATTTATATATAACAATGAGGTAGGAAGTAGGATGAATTATCATTCAGTTTATCTTTAGGAAAAACACATTGGTCATTTTTTATATGTGAGTGGCTTGTTCGTATAATAAGGAAATATCCGTAGTTTATGAACTTGTACAAATTTCAAAATTCAATTTAACAAGGTATTTTTTTTAATGATGATTTGACAAGGTATATAAGGGGATCATAAAGAGGCACTTGTGTAATTATCTTTTAACCAATAAAAAGTTTTATGGTGCTACACATAAGCAAGTAGAACTACGTTACTATTATTCAGTATTGGTATAAATAATTAGTCTATTTAATCGTCCACCAATCAATATCTATACTTTGCTGATATTATAATATTGTGTTTAAAGTATACGTAAATTGGCAAATTTAATCGAATAATATGATTTTGAATAAAAAAATTGGAGATGGTAAGAAATTGAGTGGAGGGAAAGTTGAGTTGTGGGGAAATGTGGAATATGGGTAATTGGGATGGATACTATAATTAATTGTATTAAGAAAAATGAATGAAACCTTAAAATTAGACCATCCTAGTAGTTAACAATTAAGTGTGTGTTGTGAAGTTTGTATTATCCAAAGGCCAAGAGGTATATATATATATATATATATAATAAAAAGCCCTAATAATAATCAAATAAAACCAAACCCCATCCATCATCACAGTCTTCTAAGATACGGTCAAACAAACAGCATTACAATTACCAATTTCTTGCCCTGTCTCCAATTTCCCCCTCCCTTGGCTTGCGTGTATTTAGTGGTCTAATTATTTTATCAAATACTATAGTACGATATAGGTATTCTTAATTGTTCTATCGTGTAGGACGATAATATAAAGGTAAATTACGATACTACGAATCAGGGGCGGAGGGAGAGGGATAGAGGGTGTGTATCGGACCCACCCTGGGTCGGGAAGAAAAACGTTATATTAGGTATAATTATTAATCGGGAATGAAAAATAATACGCATTTAAAGAAGAATGGTTGACCTTTAAAATATTTGAGGTATGATTTATAAGTTATGTATTGGCATATTCAATGTTTTTATTGATGCGCCTAAAATTAAAGATTGTACTCATTCAATATCAATAACAAATTTCCATCAAATCATAGCCAATTTTATAAAAATAATTTTATTCTAATAAGGGGTAGGGAGAGTGTAACTGGTGACTCCTAATGACGAAATTGAGTAAATTAGCATAATATATAGTTAATTGAGAATGAAATATAGTGCAATTCTAGTTGGAAGTATTAGTAAATACTAAATAGTGTAAGATCCATTATTAAATATTTCCAACAACTCGAATTATTGAGACTAATTGGTCTTAATAAAGAACAACGTTCAAAAACAAATGTGTAACTAAATCATGAATAATTGTTTGATACATATAGAGTGAAATTTTTGATAGTTTCGAAATATATTTAATTTGCCAAGTTTTGTAAATACAACCTTATATATTAATGATATATAAAGCTAACAATTTTTTTTTATCGTTTGTATTTTCTTCTTTCTAAACGGATCCACCCTGGACAAAATCCTGGCTACGCCCCTGCTACGATTTTGGGTTAACAATCAGTCTTTGTCGAGAGGAGTTGGAAGTGAGGTATGAAGGCGAAACTGTAGAGGACTTTCGACGTGCACACTTAGTTTACATTCATAGTATGCAAGGTGAAAGGATAAAATCGGTGAGATTATGCGTCTCTAAAGTTTGGACTCAGAGAATAATAATGTTTTCGAGGTTGGATCTTAAGTTCCTCGATTGAACCTAAAGAAAGGAAGAACGGCTTGGATTGTAGCCTTCCATGTAGGCGTCGTTTGTATCCGCTTAAACCTTCAGAAACTGATTGTTGTAGTTTGAGATAAGAGTTGTTGATGTGACTTGAATCGGACTATCAGCCGCTATGACTGGTAATCGGGGGTCTCGCTGCCCGGTCAGCGAGTGGGGTGCGGGGGCAATGCCTCCGGCCTACGGTGTATGGGCTCAATATTATTTGGGTTCGGGTTCTGGGCCTGGTCTGTAACCGTTTCCTTTGCCAGATTGGATTAGATTTAGACCCACATGGAGAAGTACTATAAATACTTCTCATACTCCTCTGTAATCTCCTCGATATAGTGAAATTGACTCTCTCTCGCCCGTGGACGTAGCTAACACACATCGTGTTAGTGAACCACATAAATCGTGTGTCTGTGTTTTTCGATTCTCGCTTTCGTATTCTTGATTTATCGATTCCGGGTGATTTCCCGATCCGTAGCAGCGCGTTTATAACGGATGCAAAGTTATCTATGCACACACTATATATTTTATTGTGATTTATTAATTATTTTTAGCGGAAATCCAGTTATTAGTGTCGCTAACAACATTCCAAATACTTATCATTCCAGTGGATATTTTTAAACAAATTGAAATGAAATTATGATGTTCCATATTGCCAATTGATAACAGAATGAATCCTAAACTCGATACATAGTTTTTGTGTAAGTTCACATCGTTAATACACGTTGTTATTTTTCTATTTTAATCTAATTTACATCTCTCTTTGTCAGTATTAGGAGCTTTGAGATAGTGTCCGGCAAGCCGCAAACTCTTGTCTTTGCATGTTCAGTTTTTTTCGCCCTAGAGCCGACTCAACATTTTGGGTTCTCACTCTAATTACGAGTTACATATTAATTAATATTATTAACTTAAATATCTTGTCACATACGTATAGTTTCTCCATCAAGTTCACAGAAAGCCAACCAATACAATACAACAATCTAGAATATTGGTGATGATGCAAATATATATATATAATTGTTTATAATTATTCGTAAAATCATGCCGTACTAGTGGTTCGATCTGAAAATTTTACTAACAGAATTCAAGTTAATAAATAATTTTTAGAGATTATGAAATGATCGAATTATAATTAGATCACGATTCTCAATACAAACAAATCTACCTCTAATTTTTTCCGATATAATTAACCTCCGGTACCATTTAAAAAATTCTTCCTGTGCATATTGTTTACCAACCAGACAACCTTTTCGCCATGCATACCTTGTTAACAAATCAACAAATGGCGTATATTCAGTTCATTGTCGTTACGTGGGGATTGGTCGGCTTATTACGTTCCCAAGTCTGAAACAAATGCTGCAAGCTAAGTAGCTTACTTAGATAGAGTCCAAATGACAATACGATCGAGATAAGTAAGACAGGAACCGTGTATACATAATAATGTATTTGCCTAATAAAACAACTCGTATAGTTTATGATAAACATCCCTTTCTTGGATTAGTGTTCATTTTGGTCTTGCGTCATGCCTTAGCTCAGCTCAGCTCAGCTCAATGTTCATTCACTTTGTCGATTAAGGCCGTTTAATGTTGGGTTTGTAAGTTAATTCCAACGGTTAAGAATTAAGTTAAGAGATACATACTTTCGGATTTTGTCCGAACCATACTGTAATGTGATCAGTGGCGGACCCAGAAATTTTTATAGGGTGTCCTCTTTTAAAAAATAAATTAAATAAAAATAATTAATAAAAATAAAATTGTGAATATGAAAATACCTTACTTGTACAGGTTAAAAAGGTCCATGATGTGTTTTCATATTCGAAAATAATTGCAGAATACACTTGGTGTTTATAGTGTTAAAAAAAATTCTCCATATACTCTACTAGACAATCATTCAGGAACTTATCGCATATTCGATTTGTAAACTTGTTCTTGATGTAACCCAAAGCTGAAAGACTCTTCAACACTTGTCGTACAATCATAAAATCAATACAAATTAAGGATAGATTGAAATTAGTTTAGATTGAAATAATTAGAGATAGGGAATGACTTTTTACAATTACACATTGTTCAAAATCGAACAACAAATGAGTTGTAGCTCAACGGAAATTAAGTTTATTAATAATAATAGTGTTCTAGATTTGAATTACACAACCTACCATTTATATTTTTATACACAAATGACAGCAGGATAATCATTTTTTCAAATTTCAGGGGTGTCCCTCACTATCAATTATATTTTTTTTTGTCTATACGTAAATTACCACCGGGGGTTGGATAATCATTTTCCCGAAATTTAGGGGTGTCCGGAGACACCCCTCCGTAGACACCCCTAAAACCCCCTGGGTTCGCCCCTGAATGTGATTAGTGCATATTTTGCCCCAATTGACTGGTTTTGATAAATATCCTATTCAGTGTCAAGAACCAGTTTGCTGAATTTTGTACCACTCTCTAACATGGCCCCTCAAACGAAAGCCAAAACATGAACTTGAAGTTTGCATAGGCCCACCATACATTGTGCTTTAATCAACGGTTAATAGTGGGGGGTTGTGGAGATTCGAACACACGACCACTTGACCAAACAAGCTCTGATACCGTATCAAGAACCAGTTGATTCCAATAACTCGAGTTGTTGGGAGAAGTTTTTGCTAGATCTTATACCGCTCTCTAACAATCCGTGAACTTTTCTGCCAACACTAGTTATAAAGCCAAAACAAAAAACGGCCACATCAATAACTTCTGTTGTGTTAAATCTTCTTTTAATCAACACTCGGCATCGCTTCATAACGAATGCTTGGCATCGGCATGTCCTTTCCTTTCACATGTAAATATGAAACCATATTTTATATACAATCCAATTCACTTAACTGATAAGGCTAATCTATCACAAGAATCCCAATAATTTTGGAGTACTACGTTCTGACGATATATCGACATGGGCATCCCACACAATATTACGACAAACACACGATACAAAACGAACGCGTACGTGGGAAATGAAAACGATACCAAATCATGGTCGCCACGTTGTTGCAAGCTTCTAAGGTTGTCTTTTCTTTATTGGGCACTATACACGTACGTAAACCAAATTCTTCCTTTTATCATTTTTCTAGTATGTACCATCGACGGCAAAATATTGTGGCAATTGGCACCAAGTTTAATTACAAACAATATCCTCTTATGCCGTCCTTATCCTTAATTTGTCATATAATTGGAAGTGATCGTGTACGTATGTGTTCGAATTTTTTTTTTTAATGATTTTCAGTATTTAGAGATTGATTTAAACACAAAACATGACATACAATGGTAGAGCCAGAACTACGAAAGTGAGGGGCAGATTTGAATCGCGGTCACTGGGAAAGATGGCTAAACCCTTACCGCGCGCGATTACTCTATTTTCAATATTTGTTATGCGTTTTACATATAGTTGTATTTCAAAGTTGAGCGAAATAATAATGTACCCCCTTCCGACTTCACCCTATAGCTCCGCCATTAATGACATTTACATATTTCAAGTTTATTTTTATTTTTTATTTATTTATGAGTGATATCAATAGAGGACAAGAGTTATTCGTACAAATCTACCCAGGACCCCTTACAATATATTCTAATGAAGCCACCCCAAAAAATCGAAAGATTCTAGCTCTAGATGAGACAAAAGCAGTGCTTTACGCGCCACTCTATGGGCAGCACTGTTGGCAGTTCTAGCCTTCTAGGTACCGCCCTAAACTCTATACAAATGGACAAGGAGCTAAGGATCTGACGACACTCTCGTAGCATCAGACCACCAATTGAGTCTTCTATGAAGCCTTGTCGGATCTGCTTGACGACCACATATTTCAAGTTCACGAGTTGATTTTTTTTTGTTTAGAACGTACAGCATATAATAAATTACAGCTGAATTAATTAGTGTTGTCTGTCCAATAACTTACCGTTGTTGAGAATAATTAGTTCGTTCGTGTAATAAAAATGACAATATATTATGCAAAGGTGCAAAGAACGTAACTGAAAGACGTAAACCGCTAGCTATTGGTGGGGGACGAAGAGTAGCATGTGAATACCCATTGGACTTGAAAGGCAATGGATTTGCCTGGGTTAAATTGGGGAAGTGATGTGACAAAACAAGCAGGCCGGCCGTGCCAGATTTAGTGAAAAAGTGATTATTGCATAAACCGGTAATTGTTTTTGTTACACTGTACAGCCTTTATAATGTTCACCAAATTACTACTTAGTACCTATACAAACTACTAGTTACAATGACTACCCTGAAAACAACAAAATTACACTTTGTACTATATTCTATCACCCCCCCTCAAGCTGGAGCATGTATATCACACATGCCCAGCTTGCCTATCAATTCTACAAACCTATGTATCGGTAGTGACTTGGTGAGAACATCGGCAAGTTGGCTGTCAGTGGAAATGTAGAACAATTTGATGAGTCGGGCTGCAACTTTCTCCCGGATGAGATGGCAGTCGATCTCGATGTGTTTGGTGCGTTCGTGTGCCACTGGATTTTCTGCAATTCTTATAGCAGAAGTATTATCACAATATAAAGCAAATGGATCAGCAAACTGGACATTAAGATCATGAAACAAGTAACTGAGCCACTGTAATTCACAAGACACATCAGCCATTGCTCGATATTCTTCTTCTGCAGATGATCGACTAATGGTTGTTTGTTTCTTGGAACGCCAGCCAGTGGCGGACCCAGAAATTTTATATAGGGGTGTCATCTTTTAAAAAATAAATTAAATACAAATAATTCTAAAATAATTAATAAATAATATTTAAATAAGAAATACTTTACTCATACAGTTTTGAAAAATTCACAATGTATTTTCATATTAAAAAATGATTGTAGAACACACTTGGGGTCTACACTATTCAAAAAAAATTGTCTCTGTATATCATATTAGACAATCATTCACGAACTGATAACATATTCAATTTCTAAACTTGTTCTTGATGTAATCCAAAGCTGAAAAGACTCTTTCAATACTTGTTGTACAACCATAAATCAATACAAATTAAGGGTAGCTTGAAATTTGTTTAATTGTTAGATTTTGAAAATAATTAGAGATAGAGAATGACATTAAACTATTACACAATGTTTAAAATCGAATAACATCTGAGTTGTAGCCTAATGAAAATTATGTTTATTAATAATAAAAGTGTCCTAGGTTTGAATTACCCAAACTACGATTTATATTCTCATACTCAAACTAAAAGATGAGAGTAGGATAATCATTTTTTTAAAATTTAGGGGTGTCCCCGACTATCAACTATAATTTTTTTGTCAATACGTAAATTACTAACGGGGTTGGATAATCGTTTTCCAAAAATTTAGGGGTGTCCGGGGACACCCCTAAACACCCGTGGGTCCGCCCCTGACGCCAGCCAATCAAAGATTTGCCAAGAAAAACGCAAAAACCAGTGGTGGACCTGCGAGTGTCAGGAAAACCAGCCCAGTCTGAGTCTGAGAAAGCAGACAAACCTACAGCTGAATCGGATGGAAAAAACAAACCTTTGCCAGGATTGTTTCTAATGAACCTAACTAATCTGTTTGCAGCATGCATGTGTAAATCAGTAGGATTAGCTACAAATTGCGTTAGATGATGCACAGCATATTGAATATCAGGTCGTGTGGTGCATAAGTACAGTAATCTACCAATCAATCTTCTATAAGGAGAAGGATTAGAAAGTGGTTCACCAGAAGAAGTAGAATATCGAACATTGGGTTCAGAAGGAGACTCTGCAACCTTAGCAGCAAGTAAACCAACATCTGCAATGATGTCTAAAGCAAATTTCCTTTGACATAGAGTTAGTCCAGTAGAATTTCTAGCAATTTCTAACCCAAGAAAGTAACGTAGGGGTCCTAAGTCCTTAATTTTGAAAGCAGCATCAAGTTTAGATTTAATTGACCTCATTCCCACTAAATCATCACCTGTTAATATCACATCATCAACATAGACTAACAAGGCTAAGAATTTATCATCAGAATGTTTAGTAAAAAGAGTATGATCTGCCTTAGATTGAATAAAACCATTAGCTAGTAAGAATTCAGTTAGTTTTGAGTTCCATTGTCGACTTGCTTGTTTTAAACCATAAAGGGACTTTGTTAAGCGACAGACATGTCGTTTAATGTCAGAAGGAGGTGTTAAGCCTTGAGGAATTTTCATATACACTTCTTCTAGAAGATCCCCATGTAAGAAAGCATTATTTACATCTAATTGCTCAATAGCCCATCCTTTGATGGAAGCCAAGGCTAATAAAGCACGAACAGTAGTCATTTTAGCTACTGGTGAAAATGTTTCTAAGTAATCTATACCCTTGGTCTGTGTATAACCTTTTGCTACTAAACGAGCCTTAAATCTCTCTACAGTACCGTCAGCTTTGTATTTAATTCGATAAACCCATTTAAAACCAATTGCCTTTTTAGAAGCAGGCAGAGAAGTTACCTTCCAAGTGTTTGTGGCTGCTAATGCATCCAGTTCAGCTTGCATAGCTGCCACCCACCTTGGATCCTTAATTGCTTCCTCATAACAGGTTGGCTCGACTTCTTTGCTTACATTCATGACGAAACTCTTGTAACCTGCAGCTAATTTCTCATAGGAAAGCACATTGGAAAGAGGATGTGTTACAGTAGAAGATGTAGCCACTGTTGAGTGACAAACAAAGTCCTTGAGTCTAGCAGGAGGCTTTGTTTGCCTTTGTGGCCTACCAGCAGGAACTGGATCATTATTATTGGGTATTTGTAATGGAATGTTGACATGATTAGTAACTGGCAACATCCCAGGAGGAGGAACAGAAGTCGTAGGATCTAAAAGAAGTTCAAAATTAGGAAGAGATAACTCATCATTAGGTGAATGAGGAGACTGTTTATAGGGGAAAATATGTTCATGAAAGACAACATCCCTAGACTCAATTTGTTTATGTGTGTTTAAATCAACTAGTTTGAAACCTTTGGTACCAAAAGGATAACCAAGGAAAACACAAGGAGTAGCTATAGGTTCAAATTTAGGGCGATTGTGACTAAGAGTGCTAGCATATGCTAAGCAGCCAAAGACCCTAAGATAAGCCAGATCAGGAGCTTTACCCTGTAAGACTTCTAAAGGAGACTTATTTTGTGTTAAAGGTGAAGGAATACGATTTATGAGACGAGTAGCATGAAGTACAGCATGACCCCAGAAAGAAGTAGGCAGAGAGGCTTGGAACAAAAGAGCCCTAGCAACAGCTACAATATGTTGCAATTTTCTTTCTACCCTACCATTCTGTTGGGATGTTTGGACACAAGAAGTTTGATGTATAATACCCTTTGTGTTATAGAAACTTGGAATATTAAATTCCTGAGCATTATCTGTTCTTATCACCTTAACATTCACATTAAATTGATTAAAAACATAAGAACAGAAATGAATAAGCAAATCCCTAGCCTCAGATTTATGCTTTAAAAGATAAACCCAGGCTACTCTAGTATGATCATCCACAATAGCAAAGAAATAACGATGACCATCTATAGTTGATTCCTTGTAAGGACCCCAAACATCACAATGAATCAAATCAAACGGAGCCTTACTGATAGATTCACTAGAAGCAAAGGGCAAGCGTTTCTGCTTAGCCAGAGGACAAACAGAACAGTGGATATGATCATCAACAACAATAGGTACAGAATTAGCCTGTAAACCTTTTATTCTAGGAGTAGAGGCATGTCCTAATCGATAATGCCACAAATCAAACATAGTATGTGATGTATCATAAGATGCAGAGAGTAGTTGAGGGATAGTAGAACGAGGCAGAGAGTTGCCAGGTTGGAGGTAGTAAAGTCCAGAGATCTGTTCAGCTATACCAATCGTCTGCATAGCTGACAGCTCCTGGATAAAACAATCATCATGAATAAAAGTCATTGAACAGTTATGTTGCTTAGTCAACTTGCTCACAGAAAGCAAGTTAAACGTGAAAGATGGAATCAACAATACATTAGAGATGATGAGATTATCATTTAAATGTACTGTCCCAATATGAGTTACTTTTGCCTTAGAGCCATTAGGTAAAGTTACGAAGGAATTATTCACAACATTATATGATTTGAGCATAGACAACGAGCAAGCCACATGGTCAGTAGCCCCAGTGTCTACCACCCATGTTTGTTCAAGAGACCTAGTGCTGGATACAGATAGAAGAAACTTACCTGCAACCTCGTCAAAGGCAGCTTGAGAGGCAGAGGAAGTTGTCTGTGCTGCAGTAGCATCCTCATAGAGAGCAGAAGTAGAATGCTCAGGCAAAGAGTTGGTGACTGCCATCAAGTTGATGGAACCCAGATTGGTGGTCTGCTGCTGAGGTTGAATAACCCTGAAAACAACAAAATTACACTTTGTACTATATTCTATCAGGCCGGCCGGCCGATGAGTAGAAATGCCGCCATCACCGGCCACCTGTTGCTGCTCCTTGCCGTACGTGCTCATCATGATCATGCAACCTACATTTTGCAAATGAGCCGAGCTGCTCGCGAGCGGCTCGACGTTCGACTCGAGAAAAGCTCGTTCGAAACTCGACCCGTTAATAAACGAGCCGAACACGAGCTCACCTTTGTCCAGCTCGTGAAGCTCGCGAGCTAGCTTGACTCAGTGTCTTGTTGAGCTAAACTCGTGAGCTAGCTCGTTTAGAGCTCATGATATGTCTTGACATGTGGCTAGAAAGCCAACTCGATTACCAACTTATGGACGAATCAATCTATATCTTATAATTTTAATTAATATGGTTGTTAAATTATATATCTCACCATATATAAAGTTTATCACGTTGAGTTTGTGAGCAATATATCTTATTTCTACTTTAAAAAGAAATTATGCATCATAAATTGCTTCGATACTATGAAATAACATGATTTGGAGTAGTTAAAATTTATTAACTAAATGATATATGATACCAACAAAGTATAATATGAGATTAGCTAACAAAATAAATCATATGTATTATAATATATAAAATGAAGTATCAAATAAAAGTTAAGATTTTAATAAACAAGCTAGCTCGAACTCGACTCGTTAATAAATGAGCTGAGCTCGAGCTCGACTCGACTCGTTTATTAACGAGCCGAGCTCAAGCTGGGGTAAAACTCGACTCGACTCGGCTCATTTGCAGCCCTAGATGCATAGTGGAAGCCATAAGACGATCGTATGATGCTATTACTTATTAGTGATACGGGTTTGTTCATAATCGTTGTTCAACAAAGCCAAATGTACACCAATATGCAAGCAAGATTCCTATGATACTAGACTTTGTATAAAAACCCTAGGTAGTTCATATATGGTCCATGTATGGTTGTTTTTTACACTGATAAGTTTAGGGTTTGGTTTGGTTTTGCAAAATATAGTGAACATATTATCTCGTAGCTAATAAACCAATATCATAAAGTGGACATATAATGACATTTAGTACGAAACCGCTTGCTTTCATATTACTCAGCTTGATTTTGATATGTTATATCGACTCACGAACACTTTTGGATGAGAAACGGATTTGTGTTCGATCCTCATTTTCAATGGTATGTACCTATATATTTCACCTACTTGCGACATTTTTTTAAAACATGTTCCAACTCTAACAATGCCTAATTCAGTATCGGCTTATATATGTGGTATTTGTTATTATAAAGATTTAAGGTATTTGTTATTATAAAGAGACATGTTTAATAAAATTATATATAAACGAACATATTATACCTATAACCTAATAATCTTCTGTATCAATTTGAAACAAAACAAATTGGTTTACAAAGATGCCGGAGAAGGCCTTGTAAAACATTGTTGGGCTTATTTGGATCGGTTTTGGGCTTTCCAACAGTTTAGAAATTTGCAATTTCTGGCGCGGCGACTAGCTTTACGAGTGGGCTGGATCTTCCAACACAAATAACCTCCACGCGCTACATAAGTTTCGGTTGGTTCAGTTTCTCACCCAGCCTACCAAAGAGGAGTCGTGCCGGTTTCAAATTTTCCTAGAGGAGTCGGCAATTGAGTCCAAGTAATTTCGAGGGGCCCACCAGGAACATCTCCCTCACTTGCTCTCACAGCCGGACACGTGGAATTTGCAGCCCCACGTCACTCTGTCCTCTTTTCCTGCACAGTCTACTCTATCCGTTTCTCGTGTGATTCTTCCTTTCTTTTTTCCGCTCCCGGTTTCAAATTCATTCTTGCTTCCCTGCTGCCTACTTGCATTTTCTTCGCTTTTGGTGTTCATAGTTCGAAAAGCCATGGCGTTCTTGGCGGTCGTCGTGACGGCTACCAAGGTCGCCGGCGTCCTCGCTAGCCTCACCGTCGCTTCGAACGCAATCTCCTTCTGGCGTTTCCAGAGGAAGAGTCTCCGGTCATTCGATTCCCCTATCGACGAGAGCTCCGAGATTCTGGCGTCCTTTAATGTTGACGGTAAGCTTCGTTTTCCACCTTCTTTTCCCCCAACTCCACGAAGCTAGCCCGCTGCTGTATCTATATATTACCTAGCTACTTCATTGACGAGTTTCCCTCTGTCGATTCGTGCATCTAGTCGCTAAATTAGAGTGCAAACCTGTTTGGCTGCGGTTTCTGGAACTTCTCCCGTCGTGTTTGGTTTAAGATTGTTTAGCTATTGCGAATGGAGGCTGCAACCGCGGCCGTTTTCGGCGTTCGTTTTGGTCTGTAGTTCTGTATTGTCGCCGGGAAATGAGAGGATAAGGAGATGGAGCTAATTCACTGCGAAACGCCATAGTAGTGCTTAGGATTTAGGAATCTGGCGAATCGCTTGAAGATAGGTTTCGTGTTTTTTTTTTCTGGTTGCTCCTATTGAGAAATGAATCTGCCACTAAGAGAATGTTAGGTGTTGATTTGGCTTAACAGTTTGTATAGTAGCCAGACGAAATAGAGGATAGTGAAATGGAATTAGTATCAATGTGGAGTTCCAATGGAGTTATTAGTGTTCAAATATAAGGTGAATCAAGTGAAATTATGCTGCTTGTGTTATTGCAGGAGGAGAAAATGGATTTTTCTTTGGATTGGCAACCGCCCCGGCTCATGTAGAAGACAAGCTTAACGACGCATGGCTCCAGTTTGCAGAAGAGAATCCTTCTGGCGACTCTGTATCACAGGGAGGCACTCAAACTGCTGATGCTATACTTGGTTCTGCTGCTGGTGATGGTGGGTCTCAGCAAGCTTCAGTTTCCACAGAAGAACTAGGTGAGACTGCTAAGAAGAAGCAGGCAAAGAAGAAGAAGAAGACGCTTAAGGTAGCTATGGAGGCTATGATCAGAGGTTTCGAGAAGTACACAGATGAAGAAAAAGAAGAAGAAAAGGAAGAAGAAGTGTCTGTGCCAGATGAAGAGTGCCACCACAATGTAGCAGCTTGGCACAATGTTCCCCATCCGTAAGTACGTTGTGAATGTTTTTATACCTGCTGGGTTGTGCGCATTTAGTATGCTGTTGATTGGAGAGATGGCTTGTGACTTTTTTCAGAGAGGAGAGGCTGAGATTTTGGTCTGATCCTGATACCGAACTGAAACTAGCTAAAGATGCTGGTGTCACTGTGTTCAGAATGGGAATAGATTGGACACGGATTATGCCTGAGGAGCCTGTCAATGGAATTAAGGATGCTGTAAGTACAATGCTAGCAGCAAGGTTTTGTACCTATAATATCTTTTGACAATAGAGTAGTAGTATATCTTTTGAATCCCATGACTGAGAGATAATCTTTCACAGGTTAATTTTGCAGCATTGGAGAGGTATAAGTGGATCATAACAAGGGTTCATTCGTATGGAATGAAGGTGATGTTGACTCTTTTCCACCATTCGTTGCCACCTTGGGCTAGTGAGTATGGTGGGTGGAAGCTGGAAAAGACTGTTGATTATTTTATGGACTTCACCAGGTTGGTACAGTGTTTTTCTGGTGATAGATAATTACCAGTTAGAGTTCTTATGCGTATTGTCCAAATCCAGCCGTTTTCCCTGACGTGTCGGCCAATTTATCACAGACCTTGTGGGCTTATTGCCTTATTCCAATGAATCTGTAGTAGTACATCTCTACTGTTTCTCCATGATTGCAACAAAGCAGGTTATTGATATTTGACATTCAGATAGGATTGTTTCTGAAGACCCTCAGGTTGTTAATAGTCAGACCTAGATTAACTAATCCCTTATTAAAAAAACATTCCCATTTGATGCAGGGTTGTTGTTGATGCGGTCTCAGAGCTAGTAGATTACTGGATCACGTTTAACGAGCCACATGTCTTTTGTATGCTAACCTATTGTGCTGGTGCATGGCCTGGTGGTCATCCTGATATGCTGGAAGTCGCAACTTCTGCTTTACCAACTGGAGTTTTCAACCAGGCGATGCACTGGATCTCTGTTGCACACTCCAAAGCCTACGATTATATCCATGAAAACTGGTTTGTGCGGTTCTCTTTTCTTTCCAATGACAGTTTATCTTTTAGCTTCTTCGTCTTGCCAACAGTTATTTTTGTATCCATACAATCCGAGTAGAATTCCTGGCATTCCGAGCCGGGCAATATGCATCAAGCTAGTCTCTATTTGCTTTCTAAATAGTTCTTCTGAAAATTTGCAGCAGTTCGTTGAATCCACCAGTTGGGGTGGCACATCATGTGTCTTTTATGCGACCATATGGTCTCTTCGATATTGCTGCAGTGACATTTGCAAATTCCCTCACTATATTTCCGTATATTGATAGAATAGCAGACAAACTGGATTACATAGGCATCAACTACTATGGGCAGGTTTCTTACTTTCCCTTGAACTCCATTAAGTATTCTCTTGTATATGACACCTAACGATTCTCATTCTACAGGAAGTGGTTTCCGGTGTTGGGCTGAAGTTAGTAGAGACAGATGAATACAGTGAATCAGGACGCGGGGTATATCCTGATGGGTTGTTTCGTGTTCTGCTCCAGTTTCACGAGAGGTACAAACATTTAGAGGTGCCATTCATTGTTACCGAGAATGGAGTTGCTGATCAAACTGATATCATCCGTCGACCATACTTGTTGGAGCACTTGCTGGCGGTCTATGCAGCAATGATTCTGGTTTCACCTCTCTTCACTTATTTGTTTGACAACAATTGTCTAAATAGGATAAATTAGTGCTAATTTTGGTCCTTCGAACTTTGATATGTTTCTGAAACGAAGTTCATAACTTTTCACAGACCGACTCTTTCTGTCAAATTTGAGAGTGTTTTTAGATGTGGGCTCCACTTAGCCTAGCAAGTCACTTTGACTGCAAAAGTGTATGAAACAACCCCTCCTAGCGGCGTTTACTGAGGGGTAGTTCAAACAAATTTGCAATAAAAGTTTCTGACGGAGTCTCACATCTAACATCAAGTCAGTCAACTTTGACAGGAAAGTTTGGTCTGTAAAAGTTGTGATGTTGAAGGGTTAGTTTCATTAAAAATAACAGGATTCTTACCAAAAAAAAAAAAAAAAAACAGGATCAGAGGCTAGCTTGAGAAGAGTATCAAAGTTCTGTCCCGAAAATAGCATCTGCCCTTGTCAATAATAGGTAGCTTTGACATGGATGATAAACTTTGCAGGGAATTCCTGTGCTTGGTTATCTGTTCTGGACCATATCCGACAACTGGGAGTGGGCGGATGGATATGGTCCCAAGTTTGGCCTTGTAGCAGTTGATCGTGAGAATAATCTTGCTCGGATTCCTCGTCCTTCTTACCATCTATTTTCCCAGGTTTGTCACTCTAGACATCTGAACTAGTTTTGTTTTTTTGGGGTTCCTGGACTTCTTTCTTTCCTCATTGATATGGTAGGAATATTCCAGGTAGTGAGATCAGGTAAGATCACGAGGGAGGACCGCGACCAAGCTTGGGATGATCTTCAACATGCTGCTAAAGAGAAGAAAACCCGACCCTTTTACCGGGCTGTCGATAAGCATGGTCTGATGTACGCAGGTAAATGATCAGCTATGCCTTTCATGCAATTCTCCCCTGTTCTCTCGTGTATATATGTGTTGTTGGATGCCCTTGATGATAGATCATGCTTGAACTCAAGTGCACAATAAATGAAACAAAGAATACCAGATCATAAGGAAACGGAGAGACGAATAATAATTAGCTTTGTTGCTTGCTCTTCAAGCTGGTTTATGTCCAACTACTTATGCTCATCTTTTTCTCTAATGATAGATTAGCCGTACTATTTCATTTAGACTCTTTGTTGTCTTTCTTCAGTTTTACGATTCTTCTATCATCTTTCCCGCTACAGGAGGCCTTGACGAGCCAATCCAGCGCCAGTTTATTGACAGAGATTGGCGGTTTGGACACTACGAGATGGAAGGTCTGCAAGACCCTTTCAGCCGCTTATCGAGATGCGTTCTTCGGCCCTTCACCAGGAGAAGGACGGGAAAGAAAAAGGAATATGAAGCTGAGTCTGAACATGTTCTTCAGCCTCTTAGCTCCAGTGTTTGATTCTCCAGCATTATTTTATTCGTGCTATTCGTAAATTTGTCGATATAATGCTCCGATACCCTATTGGATGAGAACATTATTCAACAACGCTGTACTAACTATGGTATTTTTGACTATGTATATCATATAACTATGCACATATACCCAGTTGTCTTTGTGGAAAGATTGCTGACCAAGGCGTTGAAGATTGGAATGCAACACGAGCAATTAGACAGAGAGTTAATGCCAACTAGCTCTGGAAGCCGGGGTTAAAGGCCTGTTTCCAGTTCCAGTGACATTAAGGCTCATTTTTCTACAGGTAAGAAGTGCGACGGAAATATGAGTGGTTTCCTTTCTGGTCACTGGTCAGAGATTTACAGAGTGAAGATTTCTTTCTCGAATCGTGATAGATATACTGGTAGAACTGACCTGCAGGCGTGCATCATTATATGCTTCAATGCATCCGTATCTATTGCAGGTGTAACATTTATGGTCCCTCCAGGCTCCAACTACGCAACGTAAAATGAGATCTATTGCGAAGAATGAATTTCGTTCATTGTAATTTACTCCCGGATTGATTGATTGACATGTGTAGTTGCGTTTTTATTGCACTGTGGGATTCACAGTAGTAACTTGTAAGCAGCAGATTACACAATGAAGGTCGGAAACAAACCCAAAGGAAACCCCAAATATCCGCTAGAGCGAGCATATACCGAAAAGATAACCCAAAGACTCCAAGAGATGGATTTATCGAATCCATGCCAAAGCACCATAGCTGCAACCTGGAAATCATTATGAGACTATCCTAACAATCATTCTCAGGTTAGGATTACTCTGTGGTGGGTAGGGCTGAAATCGGGATGCTCGAAACTGAACAAAACTAGGGAGTCGAAGGCAAGATCAACCAGGTCATAGTGAGATTGGAGAAAAGTAAATTGTAGACCATAAGATAAGCTACCAATTTAGGAAATATTCTAGGATTGGGAAGAGGAGTTTAAGATACATATATTTTTTTTTCCAAGTAAATGATAAGAGGCAAAACTTGGGAAAAATTCCAATCCATAAAATGAAGTCATTTCACTGCTCCAATTTAGTGAAATCACTCTACAAAATCAAAGTAAGTCAATTCTAAAGGGGTACAACAACAAAATTTTACTTGATTTGTCACTCTATAGGTAGCTCAGTTGGCATTTCTCTAATCCACTCGAAACACTTTACAACGAGAAAATGACTCGATAAGCTAGCGACACTCCCCGAAGTAGGGTCCCTCCTAGAGAATCCACCACCGCACCTTGGCTAAATGTACGAATGATTACTTCGGCATCTCCTTCCACGATGCAACGAGCTCATGAACTTTGAGAATAAAAAATTTTGCAAGTTCCACGTACTTGCGAATCTTTTGCCAAGAGGTAGGATTTGGAGAGCATACATCCATAATTCAATAAACTAAAATCAATAATAAAATACAATAAATAAACAATGAATTCTTTCATAATGTCAACAAATCTATATAAATCTAGAGTTTTCAACATCCATATTTTATCAAAATTTTCAAATTCATTAAGCTTGAAGAAACCCTAAAGTCTCATGATTCCAAGATACATTTTCCTAGACACCAAAAAACCTAAATCTCCCGCCGTATTGAACAGACACAGCGTCGTTTTGCTCTATCGCCAAAGTTTCCACAGTGGCAGTGACCAGTAATTATTTACCAACACCGCGGCCATTTACCCAGCCTCGCCCCGCCACGTCAAGACCTACTCCCTAGTCCCTACTCCTCCACTCTACTCTCTCCCTCCCGCGCGCAGGAAACCGAAAACACACACAAAGAGCTCTCACTCTCTCTTTGCTCAGGACGTCATAGAGCCGCCCCCAGTGACCACGCGTTCCTTCCATCTCCTCCCAAATCCCTTCTCAAATCAACGGCTCCCCTTCGTAACCCTAGAAATGTCGAGCTCCCATTTCGCCGCCGGCGACGCCGTCGAAGTCCTGAAGCGGGACGACGGTTCTTCCCAACTGACCTACTACCCTGCCGCCGTCCTCCGCGCACCCGCCAAGCAGCCGAACACGATTCTGATCGAGTACCAGACGCTGACGAACGGGTCGATACCAGCGAAGGAGCTCGTCGACTGCGGCAGCGTGAGGCCCGCCCCGCCGCCGGTGTCCTGGGCATGGTTCAAAGTGGGGGACGGCGTCGACGTCTACAGCGACGGCGGCTGGCGCGCAGGGATTGTGAAGGAGATACTCGAGAATTCCAAGTACCTGGTGGCTTTCGCTCGCCGGAGCGAGGGAATCGTGACGGAGCAGTGCACCCTCAGGCACCATCGGGACTGGGTCGACGGCGATTGGTTCCCGCCACTAGCACCGCCCCTCCTCCCGCCGGTAATGGAAATTGGAGAAGAATCGTGATCAATTTTAGGGTTTCCAGTTTTGCATGTTTCGATTTGCTGTTGCGTTGGGCTTAGTCTCTGTTGGGATTTTGGACTGCAGAGGAAGCGATATATGGAGGAACCGAAACCTGGGAAGATAATGCTGAAGATCAAATGCGGGAGAGGGAGAACTGAGACAGTGCTGAGAAAAGGTACGAGAGTGGAAGTGAGATCTGACGATCCAGGTTTTGAAGGTGCTTGGTTTGGTGGCATCATAATCGATCACGAAGGGACGGACAAGTATTTGGTTCAATATCTGAACCTACTAAATGAGGAACAAACTGCTCCGTTGAGAGAAGTGGTTAGCGCAGGCGATGTAAGGCCTTACCCACCTGAAACTCAGCCAGTCAACTGTTACAAGTTTCTTGAGAAGGTGGATGCTTGGTATAACGAGGGCTGGTGGGAAGGTATGGTGTTGAGAGTAGATGAGAGATTGAATAAGTATATGGTCTTCTTCCCAACTACAAAGGACAATATTTATTTTGAAGCTTCAAGTCTCAGGCCTCGTATGGAATGGTTGAATGGGAAATGGGTCAAGGTATGCTAAGTTAAAAAGAGTCTTCTATACGCACATATATATACTGATTACAGAGCTTTTTTCTGCATAATGGCTTTCATTGTGTTGATGTTTTACTGTTTCTTGCTTAATTTGAAAGCAGTTGGGTAGAGGAGAATTAGTTCTTAAGCTGCCATTCACCATATGTTATGAAGTCAAGCTGCATTCATTTATTCTTGCAACTTTCATGTGCTGTAGTGAAGTGTAGCTGCTGAACAACGTGTTTGAATCCTAGCTGCTTCTCATGTAGTCAATTTGTTGATAGGTTGGGGAGATTTAGCTGATTGTTAGTACATCGAATGTTACAAAGCTAAGTTGCAATGGCACTATTTGATCTTTTTGCAGGTAAAATCTGGGGAGGTCAACCATAAGGTGACAAAACCAGGCTCTGGTTGCAGGAAGGGAGTGAAAGTTGAGGTCAGAAGTGATAAACTTGGTTATCAAGGTGGTTACGGCAAGGGAATGAAGGTTGAGGTCAAAAGTGATGAAATTGGTTACCAGGGTGCTTGGTTTGTGGCGACCATTCTCAATGTCCCAAGGAAGGATATGTATCTGGTACAGTATGACAATCTACTCACCGACGATGAAACCGAGTACCTGGAAGAGGAGGTAGATGCTTCTGATGTCCGCCCATGTCCTCCAGAGGTGCCATATAATCGCCCTTACGGACTTCTCGATATTGTGGATACTTGGTATAATGATGCGTGGTGGGTTGGGCGCATTATTAGAGCTTATAGAGAGATGAAGTATACAATCCAATTTGGGACAGGGGAAGAGTTGGACTTTCAGCATGCCCAGCTGAGGCCTCATCAAGAATGGAGTGATGGAAAGTGGTCCTCTGTTCCTAAGGTATGACTTTTTTTTCCAACTGTTATATCTGGATAGTTAGCACACTCGTATATGTTAAGGCCTTAAGGGTGGTGCTGGGTGCTCTGATAGTGAGGAGCTACTGGCAGATTCCTGTTCTCTGTAGCCAGGGTGGGTTATGATTCACTGCACACTGAATCGACATGTGAATCGAATTGGATAGATCAATTAGAATTTGATCATGTTTTGACTCAAACTCAAAGAAATTTTGGATCACCATAAAAACAAATAGTGACGTGACCGAATTGAGACCAGACCTGATTGAACCGCACTGCTCCCTGCCACCCTAGAAGTTTGCCTCTCAATTCCCTGTAACTTGGTTTCTTCTTCTACTTGTTAACCTGCTCTAGCTTATTATGATGGCACTTAGCTCTGTCCATCTGTTAGTCTGCTGCATTTTCTTTTGCTGCTGACTTCTTTTCCCTTGAACCAGGATTGGAAGTTTTGATGACCACCCATCAAAAGAAGAGTATATCCAGTTGAAGGATCTAACTCTAGAAAACCAGAAATAGCTCCGAGGATGTGATTGGATTTGTAGAGATTGCGCACCTTCTGAATAGGAAATCCTAACTTTTTACCCTAAATGTATTTATCCCTGGAAAGTAGCTCACTTTTGTCCTATAACCCTCTTCCCCTCCCTGTTGTTCCAAGTGTAAGACTGTTTGTTGCAGAAGAACAGCCTTCAATATGGAGTTGGTAGAGTTGATATATATATATGTATAAGCTTATAAGAGGTTCCTGATATTACTATTTCTTTTATGAAGCATGTGGCCTATATTCATATGATCTCAGCACGTTGTGCTCCGAAGTTGACTCTCTTGGCCTTTTCCCAGTTCTAGACTATCATTTTCGACAAGAGGTAACTAGAATGGTTTATTCTCTTTCTATTCGTTTGTTCAGTTGAAAATGAGGTTTGCTTTTCCCTTTTCCAGCTGAAGATGATGAGCAACAAAAGAGAAAGAAGACATGACAGTAGAAGATAACAAAAGGGAAAGGCAGAGCCCAATTCTCACCCTCCCTCCAGCATATTCTTTGTCTGCAAGCATATGTAAGCATATCCTATTCTCTTCACGCAACCCATTTATCGTCCCCAAGTTTAACACTTCATTAGATGACCCCATTATCCTACTAAACTATGTAAGACACTCAAGTGAAAAAGATAATAAAGAAACTGACCAGTCTTACTTTACACATTCATACGAGATTACCAGAAATTCAATGGTTTTCAATGCATATTAAGGCTAGTAACTGGTAAGTAAATACATCGGTATATATACAGTTCATAGTTGAATACCCATATTATGAAATTCAGAGTAACGAAGTAAAGAGAATCATCATTGTTTTTAGGCGGGTGTTTGTGAGGCTTCTAAACTGCTGTTCCCATTCATTAAAACGCCAGTCGGATTCCCGATTTCACCTTCTGATCGCCGCCGCCGCCGTCACCCACGAACAAGGACAGCGGGAAAGACTTGGAAAACCCCGCCGGGGTCTTGAACGCGATGGTGGTGGGTGAACAACCGTCACCGGCGACGCCGGTGACGTGGACCTCACTCAACGTGATCCAGAACAGGAACTCCTTGGCCTTGACCCCGGTCAGGTTCCTGATCCTCCTTCGCTCGAAAGACGCCGTCACGACGGCGTCGCAGCGGACGTCGACGGTGTCGAACTTGTAGTGATCCTTCGTCTTCTTGTGCTTCAGCCACACGAACCCGGTCTCCTTGACGTGCCCGCATTCCTCGATCTCCTCGACGGCGGCGAGTAGCACGCTGCCTGGGAATCCGATCTCCGCCAGCAGGAGGGCGAACTTCTCCCTGCACTTTGCGTCGCCGTGGCAGATATCGGCGGCGCCCTTGGTTTTCATCTCCTCGATGAGATTGCAAGACGCCGTGTTGGATTTTCCGGCCGGTTTGTGGTGGTGGTGTATCATCATCGCTCCCAGCTGGTTCGGCGTCGGGGTTGGAGTTGGTCTGGACAAGGCTGGAGGATACATGGCCGCCGGCGAGTATAAAGGATTGGGATTTTGAGGAGGGTGTGGTTTTCTTTTTTGCCTTTGCCGTTCTGGACAAGGAATACAAGTATGGAATGGAAGGCGGAGGAAGAAGAAGGTGGGCGCCTTAGTTTTATGCCTAGTTAGTTATTTTGTTTCTCCGATTGCTTTGTGGCATCTTTTCGGCATATAAGTCGGGATTTATTTTGTGGAGAATCACTTTGATGGAGAAGGGATTGTGTGAGGGATGGTGTACGGCATGCGGTTTGTTGTGCACAATTTTTTAGCACATTATTTCCATTGTGGTAAGATTTGGAGATTTTTTTTTTTTTTATATATAAGGGTGATATACATTTAAGGTTAAAAAAACGGTGATAATATTACTAGATCATATACAAGGTTGTTATTAATAACTATAATAAAAGATACAAGGTTGTTAAGATAAGTTTTTATCACAAGATATGTTACTAGAGCATGCAATTTTTTGTTCCAAAATAATATAAAAATGAATACCATCTTGCCAAAACCAAACACAATTAATAAAGATTTCTTTGAGTACGTTAGAGTAAACTTTTATTTTTTTGATAGTGTAATTTTTTTATCGGGAACATTAATGGCACATCCTAATTATTACAAAATAAAAATCGTACTAGAAGATTATGAGCACTAAGAAAGGAATATAACTCCAACCATCATGAGGAAACTAAATGATAAGACAACCTACTAATTAAGACTAACTTATAATGATGACTGATGCCCTTGTATCGAAAGGGCGCATGTTTATCAATGTGGGGGTTAATATTGAAAATACAAGAAGAAAGGAAAGGGGATTTGTTTAGGTATTAATGTTAATCAATGTAGAAAAGCTAATTAAAAAGAAAATGCATTGACGTGTTGAGTGTGGTACGCCATACGCCAAATTGCAATATTGCATTTGCATACGTGTGGAAGAGGAAGACTGACTGAGTGGACGGTTTTCCATGAATTGGCAAAGCTTTCTTCAAATTCCATCGCAACTCACAAGCGAAAACAACAGCTAAGAAAGCCATAACCTCTTAATTTGCCGAAAGGCAGGGATAGGCAACGGTGCGGCACGAACTGGATCTACGACAATCTCAATTCAATTGTAAAATAAATTTCAGGACCAAAGATTGGATTATTGTTGCATTTGATAAGTTTGATTCAGTCCGTTTTTCTTCCATGGTTATAGAATTTATGCGAGCAAAAACAGAACCACATTATATTCGATCTAGTACGTAATGTCGTAATCCGAACCAAACCCTACCCAAAGCTAAAGAGTGAACTTTGGCCGGTGCCTTGGACGGCTTTTGGGCTTCGGATTGAGCCCACTAAAAGTGAACACTTTCGAGTTCAACCACCCAAAAAGGCAAAACATAGTAGCTCACTTATGCTCCCTCTTGAACTCCTTTGCTTCTGGGCCCATATCAATCCCGGCCCACCGTCAATCTAATCACAGCCTCCCAAATTTCTCCCGGTCCCGGTTTCCGGGAATATTTTCCCGAGCATATCCTCGTAAAACAATTCATTCTCCGACGATCTAAAATCCCAGTTTCCTTAATCCAACAATCCCACTCAGTTCCACTTTCTTCCTCGTATCACTGTCTCCTTCCATGTCGTAACTATTACTGTCATGCCCGGAAAACTGCTCTCAGTTCACCCCCGGCGTTTCCATTTCCTCTCCCACCTCACTTCAATCCCTAAACCGCCCAACACGCCGATCGAAAACCCATCTTGGAAATTATCAACCGATCACCAATTCGGCCGGGTGCCATCTCCTTAACCCATGAATCCGACGGTGGAGTTCTTCCCCGACGAAGTAATCCTCCAGATTCTGGTTCGATTGCCGGTCAAGGCGCTCTTCCGAGCGAGAACGGTCTGCAAACGGTGGCTCTCGCTATCCAAAGATAAGTACTTCATCCAATTCTACAACGAACTAGCTGTGAAAAACTCGACGGTCCTATTAGATGTATCCGATTCCTCTGAATTGAAATCGACATTAATATGCGTCGATAACCTAGCTGGGGTCTTCGAATTCTCCCTAGATTTCATCGACGATCGAGTCAAAATTAGGGCTTCCTGCAATGGCCTGCTGTGTTGCTCCGGGGTCCCCGACAGGGGCTTGTACTACGTCTGCAATCCGATGACCAGGCAGTTCAAGGTGCTTCCCAGGAATAGGGAAAGGCCAATTACTAGGTTTTATCCAGATAGTGAGGCAACATTGGTTGGGCTAGCCTGCGATCTGACTCTGCACAAGTTCAATGTCGTTGTGGCGTTCTATCACCGCGCTTTTGGGCACAGGCCGGATGGAACGTTCGTGTGCTATGTGTTTGATTCTGGGATGAATAAGTGGAGGAAGTTTGTGTCGATTCAGGATGATCATTTCACGCATATGAACCGGCACCAGGTCGTCTTTGTGAATGGTTCGCTGCATTGGTTGACCGGTAGTTGCTTGTTCGTGCTGGTGCTTGATGTGGAGTGTGATGTGTGGAGGAAGATTTCGCTTCCGGATGAGGTGAGTTATGGGGTGGGGAACCGGGTTTATCTGCTCGAATTGGAGGGTTGTCTGTCGGTGGTGCAGATCTCGGAGGCTTGGATGAAGATATGGGCGATGAAGGAGTATGATAGTGAAGTGTGGAGTGTGGTGGATCGAGTCAGCTTGAGGTGTATTCGCGGAATGGTACCCGGGATTTTCCCAATTAGCCAGACGAGTGAGCATGTGTTCTTGGCTACTCATAAGCAGGTGCTGGTGTATAATAGGAAGACTAGAGTGTGGAAGGAGATGTATTCTCTGAAGACCAACAGCTCTTCGTTCCCATTGTGGTTCTCGGCTCATGCTTTTCGGAGTACAATCTTCTCTTGCGACTGAGATGGTAAAGATTGAATCTATCTCCCGCTCTATGTGTACAGGACTTTCCTATTTGACGCAGCTCAGGCATTATGCTATTCACAATGTGAATGTCCAATAAGCCAACCATTTCACTTGGAATAGTGTCCTTGCCGCATGTTAATAAATCTTCCAGTGTTTCTCTACAAAGGGTCTGAGTGTGGAAGGAAATGTACTCTCTGATGGCCACGACCTTATATCCATTGTGGTTCTTGCCTCACAGCTTTGGAAGTGCAATGGTCTCTTGCAGGTGAGATCTGAGGTAGAGACTGAATTTACTTGTGTTTACTGTGTACATGAATTTGCCATGTCTAATAATCATGCCTATTAGTAAGGAAACCAATTCATTTGGGAACCGTGTCCTTGGCTCGTATGTTAATAAAATGTGTACTCGAGGTCTAGATAACCCACAAGGCGAAAAGGCTGCTTCTTCTCCTTGTACATGTGTTTATTTCTATTCCCTGTCTAGACTTTGGTTGCGCATGTTGTATAAACTATTGGTAGGAGAAAGAGATAATCTAATTTGTGTTGTGTTGTGTTGTGTTGCAAAAAGCTGGCTGTCTCTGGCATTTGGGATTTAGTTTTTGCATCAGAAACTAGCTGACTGAAATCTTGCCAGAGAGTCCTCTGGTGCAGTGGTATTTTGTTATGGTGGTATGGTTTATGTCCTTTCCTGCTTGGAAGACAAGGCTGGGAGTCTGTAGCCAATCCATGGATGATGTTGCAAGCTTGTTGGACAATGCCAATGCTGCATGATTGGGAGGTTGTATCCTTGGAACAAACAAAAAACTGTTTGTGGCAAAACGTTGCCTGTAGATGTCGTTCGGTTCGGATTATGATTGGTTGGTTGTTATTGGTTTTGCAAACAAGTAGGCCGCGGTTGAATTTGGTTATTTTATGGTCAATGGTGGAATTGAGGGAAGGAGCTCTGTTTTGATTAAGCGATCTGGGTTTAGCTTCGGGCTGCAAGTGAGCAGGAGAAGGCTCGACGGAATAGCTATTCTCCATGTAGGAGAAAGCTGAAGTGCATGTGCTTGCGAGAAAGTCTAGGACGGCGTCTATGTAACATTTAACCTCGTCCCTGATCGAGTTCGACCATGGTTCACGAAGTTTGGATGGGAAGTATCAAGTATAAAAATAGACAGGTTTGGGAATGGGGTTGTAGTAGAAGCCAGAAGGGCAAGTTTGACATAAAAATGTTAGAGGCAGGTTCAGAAAACCACAAAATGTAGAGGGGCAATTTATGTATTAAGTATTAACCCTAAGAAATAATGTAAAGACTCGTTCTTTGAAGCCTTTCTCACAAGTCGCAATTAGTGATGGGAATAGGGTGGGATGGAGCGTGACGAGTACATCGGGACGGGTACATCAACACTAATACTTGTTTCGCACTAAGAAATTAATACTTGTTTCGCACTAAGAAAAAAATAGGCAAAATACCCCTGTATAGTCATAACTTTCACACTTTTGACAAATATAGCCATTTCTATTCGAAAACCACAAATAGCCAATTCTGTCCATTTTGGTAACGGTGTTAGTAGACGTTATGACTGTACTAACGGCTTGCGCTAAGTTGGCCACTGAGTTACCCCACCTTCCGACGTGGAAAAAAGAAGAAGATGAAAGTGACCCAGCTGCCCACCACCACTCGTGACTCGTCCTTCTTTCTTATTCCTTCGTTTTTCTTTCCCCCTTCACCTCTCTTCCTCCGAACTCCGACCACGAGACTGACCACGACCGATTTCGCCCCCATTTTCCGATCTTCCTCCGATAACCCCCTTCCAGCTTCCGTTCATCGCCCTAATCCTCTATAAATCCTCATCCCAACCCCGAAAACTTCAGCTTTTATCATCCCCGATTTCGCGTCCTTCCAATGACGAACTATGGCATGCATCCTGACTAATCCACCGGCGGCCATCGTTTCCCGACGCAACCCAAGCATCCTAGTAATGAAGCACGCATCGACGAAGCATAGGTAAGTCTTTTCTCGCCGATTCTCCAAAACCCTAATTTCACATTCTGGCGCGATTGGTGAGTTTTTCAGAGAGAGGTTGGTTGGGGGTTTCGATGATGGGTAGGATGGTTGGGGGTTTCGATTATGGGTAGGATGTACTTATAGGCTGTTTCTTACCTCCTTTTCTCGTGTGTTTTTGTAGTTGTGGCTCGCTGTAAAGAAGGAAAGCGACATTACTGATTCCAAAAGGGACCACTTCGCATTGAATCTGTGTTTTTCGCAAGATTGCCCCTGAATCCGACGGTGAGTGCCTCCAAATCCTGGGTAGAAGAGTCATTGATATCTTTCTTTGTCAAAAACCCTAGAATAGAATAATGGTGGAAGACTGTGCTATTGTTTGTTTGTTAGTGAATTAAAATTTGTTGATTAGGGCTAGTAATGACTTTATTAATTCTTTATCTTGTTTAGGGTTTAGATGGCTGATTCATACGAGGATCAAGGTGGCGAGAATGATCCAAACCATGTAGGATCAGAGAATGCTAGCTTTGGTAATGTTGCTCGTGAAGATGAAGCTACATCTGTGGCACGAGATGTGTTCCATATTTACGATTCTGACGATGCAGAAACATCTGATGATGAGTACCATGAGGCTCGGGCCAATTTACGCGCCTATGGGGAAATGAGAAAGAGGAAGGTGAAGGCAAGGTTAGATGGTCATGGGGAGGATGTTGAAAAACTAGATGAGTATGAAGAAGATGAAGACCATGAAGAGGGCATTGGAGATGATCCTGAAGAAGATGATCCTGAAGAACCTGATCAGTCAGCAGTAAATGATGGTGCACCAGAGCAAGCAGTTGAAGATGATGGTGTAGTCGAAGATAATGGTGCACCTCCAGTTTAAGAACCTAGAAGAGAAGAGTCTCAACACTCTAGCTACAGACTGTCAGAGGAATCTGATCATGTTAGGGGCAACCTTTCTGACGAGGATGGTGGAGAGCCATTTGGGGATGCTCCACACTACGATTCAGACTGTGATCACAAGAACTTTAAGTTCATTCCAAGGTTGAAGTTTGAAAGTCCAGAACAGTTCCAGAACGCGGTAGTCTTACATTCTGTTGTTGCTGGTGCTAGCTTGAGATGGGTTAGGAGCACACCATCAAGAAAAGAGGTGAAATGCAAGGACACAAGATGCATATATAATTTTTTTTTTACACGTGGCATTCCACGTGTACATTTTGCTGAAGTGTCAATCATGTGGAGGTCGATTTCCGTCCTCGTCAGCGTTCCGTCAAACGAGTTAACGGAATCGCAGACGGTGTTAAAGTTTTTACCGTTTTTGGCTAGATTTGTCATACTACCCTCCGTTTTTGGGCTATTTGTGGTTTTCGAATAGAAATGGCTATATTTGTCAAAAGTGTGAAAGTTATGGCTATACAGGGGTATTTTGCCAAAAAAATATGATAAAGTAAATGAGAAAGACTTTATAAAACAGAATGAGTAATTAAGTCCAATTAGCTTAAAGATAACAATCTTATGTAAAGTCATGACGACACTGATTAAGAACAGGACATGATACAATACGCGTACGGCAGGGTGGTAGTACCATCCATGTCATGCCCCATATTAATATGGGTTTGGTAACGAGTCGACTTCAAATCATAATTCCTACTCATAATAACTCGAATTATTGAATTAGTAAATATAACAAATTCTCAAGCAGTGGCGAATCTAGGGGGCCGCCGCCTGGTCCACGGTCCAGCCCTCCTCTGGATCTAGAGCACTTGTAAATTTTTAACTTTAGGTATTCATTTTAGTGCTCGTCGGGCTACGACCCAGTCCTCTCCACCTCATTTTAAATGTGGAGTGCTCTACCATATCCGAGATCCGTCGCTAATTCTCAAGTGATCAATTTTTATATAGGAAGACGGACGTAAGAAATGGCCTAATTCGTTGTTATCGTCATTGACTGGAGTTTGAGTGATCCCAAAACCTCAGTATCCAAAGTTCACGTCTCTCATGTTGAAATTATGTGAGCCAAACCAAGAAAAATACAAACTCAATCCCCAATTAGTCTTTTGCCGCCAGCAGACAGCCACTTGTGACTTTTCTCGACAAAGAAGAGAGATAACCAGATAAATTGTGTGTTTAACCTCGCAGCCGCGCGAGATCTAGACAACTTAAACTACAAGTCCAGAAGAAGTCTAGAAAGAGGCATATTGAACTTTTAGTTGAACGTGTCCACGACGTAGCCTAACCAGCTGCATGCAGACAATTCAACGATGGAATAAATTGCACTTGGAAATTGCACTTGTTTTTTTCTTCTTTTCTTTCTACTTAGAAGAAAACAAAAGGGCCGATGTGTTGTATGCCTAACCAAAGGGCTGCCTTAGCTCTATAAATAGCTCCCTTCTACTCTCCACTTCCTTCACACCAAACAAACACTCTTTACTTCTCTACCAATTACACTGCCCACTTAAATTCTCACCATGGGAAACCTCCAACTCCTCATCGCCGCCATAGCCATCCTCGCGGCCACCGCAACCCTCCCGGCGACGGTCGTGGAGGCCGCCGTCGCCGACACCGTCACCCCAGATTTCTTCGACGGCATCAAGAACCAAGCACAAGACAGCTGCGCCGGGAAGAGCTTCTACACCCGCGACGCCCTTCTACAGGCCGCCAATTCCTACCCCGACTTCGGCAATACGCCGCGCGAGGTCGCCGCCTTCTTCGCCCACGTCACCCACGAAACCGGAAGTAAGTAATCAACTCTCCATCCCTGTCGTCGAATTTTCACGTAATCGTACCAGATGTTATATCGGAAAAAAGTACTTTAAAAAAATCACGTTTAAATCTTTTTGATAGCGCGATAAAATCACATAGCATGTTAGACTCTGATTAGGTAGTTTTTTTTCGATCATAATATTGATACGGTACAATTTTACAAATAGTAAGTAACTTTTTTTTTGAATTACGACACGTGCGCGATTTTATTCGATAACATGTGAGGAGACAATTCCACCATGGTTTGCATTTCTTTCTCTTTTTCTTTCGATTTTTGATCTTTAAGACGTTCTGTCTGATCCGCAGGCATGTGCTACGTGGAAGAAATTAACAAGTCGGACTACTGCGACCCGGCGCAGTACCCGTGCGCCTCGGGGAAGCAGTACTACGGGCGGGGCCCGCTCCAGCTGACGTGGAACTACAACTACGCGATGTGCGGGCAGGCACTCAACTTCGACGGCGTCGGGGACCCGGACATCGTGGCGAGGGATCCGGTGCTGACGTGGAGGGCGGCGCTGTGGTTCTGGATGACGAACGTTCGCCCCGTCCTCGATCAAGGGTTCGGAGCCACCATCCGTGCGATTAACGGCATCGAGTGTAACGGCGGCAACGCGCCCGCCGTTCAGGCGAGGGTGGGATTCTACAACACGTACTGCCAGAGGTTTGGAATCCAGCCGGAGGCTAATACCGGCTGTTAAGTTACTCCGTCGATCGAGGACGTATGAGTACTAAAACGTTGTCGTTTTTTTTACGCATTTGAATGTACTAATTTCATCTTCCTACTTATTACTGGCATGGCATTGTAGCCCTGATAAAAATAAATAAAAGTTGTGTTAATCCCTTTTTTTCCCGCTCTTTAATGACGCATCTCAAGTTGTTAATTACCTTAAACCTTTAATTGAGTGTACGTTCATGAGGTTCATCCAAGCCTAGCTTTGGAAATGTGTGTGTGGAAAATGATATAGAAGTAGTTTTTGGTCACAGAAGCAATAAAGACTTGTACGTGCGTGACCCGCGACAACAGAGTGCAATAGACGGTAAGAAAAGTAGGCAAGAGGGACGACCTCATGACATTATAGAAGTCAACTGTATAGGACAATTAATGCGATAATTAATGGGAAGAAAACGAATCAATGGATTTTTTTTTGTTGAATTAGTTCATTTTTGTTACAACAAGTTTGAGATTAAAACGATCACAAACGATTAATATAATGATGAAGCGAAGTTCTCGGTATAGGAACTTCGAAAGAAAGCCACGCATTACTCTACTTTTTGCCCTCTACCTTTTGCCCTGGCTATACAACTCAATTTGCTCTATTTTGATACAAACAAATGAAACAACCCAATCCTATGGAGGTACCAATCCGCCCATTGACAACAATTTTCAAACCGTATTTTTTTTTGGGTACAAACATGTGATTTTACTAAGAATACGTAACAAATGTGTTATTCTCTCAATATTACCATCAAACTATCATAGATGAGGAATGGAAATACACCAAGTCGACCCTCACTTATTGTTATGTTATTATTTTTGCCGAGGGAAAAATATTAATTAGGGACCTCCTACCATGCCTTGCAGTTACTGTAACTTGACTTTTTTGACATGCTATAGCAGGTTTTATAGGTCACATTACGTAAAATTAATGTTTATTACGTAACAATTACGTAATGCTTGTTAGTCTTACGTAACAGTTAAACTGGAAGCGTTACGGAAGGTTTCCGTAACGACTTATCATTTTACGTAACACTAGGTTAATATTCATTACGTAAAAGCATCGTCTATTACGTAAGGCTTCCATAATGATATTTTACAAATGTTGCATAAAATACACGCTCATTACGTTAGGTTACGTAACGAAGGTTATATCTTACGTAACAGTTAAATTAGAAGTGTTACGTAAGACTTCCGTAATGACTTACCACATTACGTAACTTGATTAATATTCATTACGTAAATGGATCACCCATTACATAAGGCTTCCGTAATGTCACTTTACAACTGTTACGTAAAGTATGCATCTATTACGTAAAGGTTACGTAACGATAGTTATTTCTTACGTAAGAGTTAAATTAGAAGCGTTGCGTAAGTCTTCCGTAATGATTTAGCAGATTACGTAACGAAAGGTTAATATTCATTACGTAAAATGAGTGTCTATTACGTAAGGTTTCCGTAATGACATTTTTCAACTATTACGTAAGATAAACACCCATTACGTAATGCCTATTGTATTTTACGTAATGCGACTTGTGAAACCTGTTATAACAGGATAAAAATATCAACTTACAATAACTTCAAAGTATTGTAGGAATTTTCTATTAATTATTGAAATTTATACTTATATATCCTTCCCCATCTCGATCTTGTTTGTATTGTAATGTTTTATATGTTTATATGGGCTTTCCATAAGCAAATCTTCTTTTGTCGTAAGTTCTTTGTAGTTCATTCACACACTTCCATTTGTTCATTTAGACAACTTTTCACCCTCCTACATTGAGAATGCCCAACAAAATTTCATTACATTGCCTACTTATGCAATTATGCTCGAGTCTTCATATAGTACTTTGTACTATATTTTCAAATTACAATTTAGAACACAAATGACACGAGAGATAAAAATATATCACGACTATTTTATACAATATAAGATTTAGTTCAATTACATCAATACCAAACCTATTATACCCCTAATTCATGGAGAGACCAGAATATGCATGCCACAGTTCATTCATTAGTTATTTGTACATTTTAAATCAAACGGTAAGTGAACGGTACCACCCGCATAAATTGACACTCATTCGATTAATCAAAGGTAATTCTTTGCTTACAAGCACCATACAAATCACATGGAATGTGTTCATTGACAATGTAACATGCATTTCGGGGTTGAAGATAATTATTTTTGTGCACTAAACATCATGCAGATCACATGCCATGTAATGTAAATATTAACTTTCTATCGTTTTTAAATTTGCGTATTTCAAATTTACTATAAACATTTGTGAGATTTCACAAAAAGTATGAAATATATAATTTTCATTTTAATCGTATTTCACACTATCCAATTCTATGAACCATGCACATCATAATATTTCATCGATAATTCATTTCTTGATTTCTTCCTTTCGTTTAGTTATACATTTGTCATTTCTTTACCTTCACATGTTGAATTGGAAACACAAGGAAGAAGATAAGCACTTAATCTAAATAATAGCATTGGACATTGGTAATAACTAATAAGAAGGAAAAAATTAGTATTTACTGAATTTCTAAATATCATTCCTCCAAGCATAAAAAGTTCCATAGATATAATTTTAATATTATATTTATCACAATGGTGGATGAGGCCATCAATTGTCGGTTCGCTTAACCAAATCATTAAGTAGGACAAACCGAAACCAAGGTTGTCAAACCGGTTTATACCGTTGTGCCGGTTTTGCAAGTGGAATGGTACGACCGGTGGTATAATCAGTTCATGCTGGTTAAAAAAAATGTGAAAACAATTAATATCCAATGTATCTAATCATATATAAAACATACTTGTTGACAATTTAGTTACAATCCAACAAATATCATCAACTTTTAACTATTACATTCATAAAATGAATAATAAATTAATTTTTTATTCATTAAATTCATTAAAATGATGTCATTTTACTTAGAATGGTTAAGTCGATCATACCGGTCATACCGGTGGTGTCATGCCGATTTCATGACCGGCACAGGTTGAACCAGGTTCAACCGGGTGGCATGCCACCGGCACGACAACCATGACCGAAACTCAAAACAGTTTAAGTTGCTAAAAAGAAAAAATGATAAGAGTTTTATCAAATTCCACTAATAAAAAACCAATATCCTTTATCGATTTTGGTTCGGTCTGAACAAAGAAAATCGAATAATTCACTACTTATAATTATCCCAACATGATATCTGTTATTTTTTGTTTCTTATTTGTTTTATGGTATAAAGTCTAAACCGAAACTTAATTGTTAAGTTAGTTAATAGTTTGTTATCAAGAACCAAAATCATTAAACATTTTATTGGCTCGGTTTCGGTTGTCCATTCGGTTTAAACCGAGAAATCAAAACCGAAATGGACACCGCTGGGGTGGTGGGGGAAGTTACAAAAAGGATAAAAACACAATGATGGGCCGGTAGTAACCCAATACTACCAGTGTCCAGTCGCCGTGTGGCGAATCTTTTTAATCTTTACAGCCATTGATGAAGCAGCCGCTGCCAAAGTACAAAACCCAGAGTCCCTCCATCCCCCATTTGATCGCTGAAACCCACACCCGAAATAACCTTCGACCACTACCCTCATTATCCTCTCAGATTCTCCGACCTACCCATCTCTCTCTCTCTCTTCGCCGTCCGCCATCGTTTCTTCCGATTCCCCGCAACGGCGCGTCGGCGCCCCCCCCTCAATCGGTCATCCCTTCCGTTTCCTCAGCTTCAAATTTGCGGCTTTCCCTCCTTCAAAGTCCAGACAACAGAGCAGCAGAGTGAAATTGAACTGGCGATGGTGATGATGATATGATCATCAGCTGTCTGACTCGTTTTCTGGGGCTTTTCCTCCCCTGGAAATTGTTTTGAGGTATGCTAAAAAATTTTTTATCCTTTCGCTTTTCTGAGTTCATGCTCCTGAATTTTCCCTTCTGGGTTCGCCTCTAATATTCAGTCGCTGTCGGTTCGTGCGTTGAAATTAACGAACTAGAGGAGGGAAGGTGGAAATGGGTTGGTGTTACCGAACTTGGGAGCGCATTGGGCGCTTTTCTGAGGTGTTTTGTTGCAATCTACCGAACCCATTCACTCGAATTGAATGCATGCCGCCCTACGAAAATGCCTCTTGTAGTTGTAATGAGCATAGCTTTGATGCAGACTGAATGGGGAAAAAGAGTGAATGAACTAGTTCTTGGCAATATTCTATAGTATTAGTGGGTTTCCATAATCTGTTTTCCTGAAATTTCAATTGGGTTTCCCTTTTCCTGCAGTGAGCATGCAAGTCTGCATCTGGACTCCGCAATCATAGGTGTTGAGAAATGGGTCCTCTTGACATTACTGTACCTGTACTTCTTCTGTGAGGAGAATAAGTAAAGAATTAGTAAGAGGTGATATGGCTCGCAAAGGTAGTCAACAGAAGAATGGATTACCCAACCACAAGAAAAAAGTCTCAGACTCAGAGTTGAAAGGACAAGGAAAAGGCAGTCAGGCGAAGGTTTTCCCAGGAGATGGTCTGATAAATGATGATCCGCCTACTATTCCTAGTACTGATGCTAGTAGGAAAACCGTGCATGTTGGAGACGAGAACAAAGTCAAGCACCAAAAGTCTGGGAAGTCTCAGTGCAAAGAGAAGCAAGGAGCAGATAGGGTTCATAATGTAGAGGAATCAATGTCATGTGGTAGTAATTTGAACGATCCTATTCATCCTTCTGTGGAAAGTACTGGGTTGAGAGAAGAACATGGGCAAGGAACTAGTAGTGCAAGTGGTCCTACCAACTGGATGAGCAACTCAGGCTACCTGATGGATCGGTTTCACCTTAGAAATTTAATTGAAAATGTGAATGTTTCTGGTGATTTAGCTTATAGAAACTTGAGAGCAACATCTTTGTCCATGTTGAATGCAGCAGGTGAATGGATTGAGAAGAAGAGGCCATTGTTTGTTATCCTCACTTCCAACCTACGGAATGCTAGTGATTATGCTCGACAGAAGTTTGAGCTAGCTTATCCCTTCGTTTTTAAATGGCTCGTGCATCTTGGGAATATAGTCCTCTTTCTATCAATGGTTTGGTTGGATTGCACTCTAAGAGGAGTCGATTCCTTTCTGCGCATGGGGACAACATCATTTTTCTCAGTTATATGGTGCAGCATTCTATCTATTGTTGCCATGGTTGGGATATCCAAGTTTATTATTATCCTGGTAAGTCTTCTTGATTATGCTTCATCCAGTTACTTAGCAGAGCTCCAAAATTCTCATGGATCAGTGTGTGTCACATGGGTAACCTCCAGCTTCAGTTTCTGGTCACACATCATATAATGTAGTTAAAGTTCTTTGGCCATTTAATGTCTTATGTTTCCTCAGTAATTAGAAACTGCATCAGTATATTTCATCAATCATTTGGATCCCAGTGCTGTACCAGTTACCTTCTATGTACCCTGGCATTGCTGTTATCAGAATTTGGTTTCACTATCATCTTTATCTCTATTGTCTATAATGTTTAATGAATTCAAATTGTCAGGCAATAGCTGCTGCGGTGGGAGTTTTCATAGGTTTTACCCTTGGGATTTTGGTAGTTGCCATTTCTGCTACTATTTTCCTATGGTGTTATGGAAGCTTTTGGACAACAGCATGCATTGCAGTAATATCTGGTAACTGTTTGCACTTCCTGAATCTATTTATACTTTCTTACAGATGAGAATGCTGACCTTTTCCTCCCTGTCATTTTTCAGGTTTGGCATTCATATCAAGCCATGAAAGTCTTGCTTTACTAATCACCACTGTTTACTCGGTGTACAGTGCATGGGGATATGTGGGATGGCTTGGTTCACTTTTGGCGTTGAATTTGGCTTTTATCTCAAGCGACATTTTGGTTTACTTCCTAAAGAATAATGTGAACCAGCATAGAAGGTCTGATGGGTCATCTGAGAATTCAGCAGGACCAGAAGGTCGACCTAACTTCTCAACTGGTGAATCATTCCCAAATGGATTCCCTGAATCTATGCCCGGGGTGCCTTTAGACCGTAGCCCTGGTGTGGCATCAACCAGTGGGGCTGATTCAGAGTTGAGTTCGGAAGATGAGGTTATCCGGTTGTTGAACTGTAGTGATCACTATGCAGTGTTGGGCTTGGGCCGCTATGAGCCTGTAGATGTTACTTTACTGAAGAGAGAATATAGGAGAAAGGTACTGTGTTGTTATCACTGCTCCATGTACTACATATCATGCTGTCAAACTTAAGAATTTCTTTATTGAGTTGGAGCTTTGAATTATGACTTCCCGATTCTTTGTTATTTCTGTTATATCAAGTTTGTGGTTTCAAACTTATCTTCAGGCAATGTTGGTTCATCCTGACAAGAATATGGGCAATGATAAGGCAGCAGAGGCCTTTAAAAAACTTCAAAACGCCTATGAGGTAAATGACTGGGTTCTACCAGTTAAAGTACATCACAAAGTTTCTTATGTGATAAAGTTTTCTCATATTGTTGTCATATTCCTTCTAGGTATTACTTGATTCCTCAAAGCAAAAAGCATATGATGATGAGTTGCGGAGGGAAGAATTGTTAAACTATTTCCGAAGATTTCATAGTAACTCCCAAAAGGTTTGCATATATCTGTTTCCCTAACATTACTTGTTCTGTTCTTATCTGCATAAACATGCCTGCCTGTTCTTTCAGCTCTGGTTTTTAGTATGTGTCATTTGAGGCTCTTTAATCTCATTTGGACTTCTGTATTCTGAAGAAGAAACCTTACATCTAGCTATAGAATATGAGTTCTTATGACTTCTTGAGATGCAAATATATTTCTGCCAAGTCTTTTGATTGTATGGTAAGCTTTGCATCTCACATGACTAAATTAACCAGAATGGAGAGCATGGTCCCTTCCCACCTGGATTCACTCATTCAGAAGCTGATGGAGATCCTTTTGGAGATTCAAGAAGAATAGCCTGCAAAAAGTGTGGCAACTTCCATATCTGGGTTCATACCGTTAAGCAAAAGTCTCGTGCAAGATGGTGTCAGGTTTCCCCTTCCACAATCTATTTTGTAGTAATTATTTGATTTTGTGGTCTTGAATTTAGGATTAAGCACTTGGTACATCTTGTGTTCCAGCACAGCTTTTGTAGCCAATTAAAATTGGGCAAGCTAGTCCTTGTATATCTTGCTTACTTACCCTTTGTAATTCCGTAGGAATGCAAAGATTTTCATCCGGCAAAAGATGGAGATGGATGGGTTGAGCAGTCTACACAACCTTTCTTATTTGGGTTACTCCAGAAGGTATTTGTCATGTTATTATTGTTTAGCCTTCTAAACCTTATGAGCATGGTTGCCCTAAGCAATTTTTCAGGCAACCTGTGTGTGCCCCTTTTGTGTTTGCTGAATGTTGATCACTTGTTGTTGGCCAATGTCCTTGTCTATTCCATCACTTTCTTGCCTTTTGCTTTTATCTAGAGAGATTGTTAGGACAGCCAAATTTTTTGTTTTTGAAGCTAGAAACGAAGAGTTTGAAGGATGTGTATTTTAGCATGAAGTTGGTTACTAGATCAGCTGGCACCTGTCGAATCAAATGGAGATTACATTTACATACTAGAGTTAATTTAAGGCATGACCTCCATTAGATATGAGTTGATTTCTGAAGCCATTTAGTGGGTCATTCACTTGATAAGATAGTTGCACCTCGCTTTGCTCCCAATTTACCCTCTTCCTTTCGACCTTCATTCCTTCACCCACACTGAAATCAGTGTACTCATATGCAGGTGGAACCCCCCTGTGCATACGTTTGTGCAGATAGCAAGATATACAACGCCACCGAATGGTATAGTTGTCAGGTGAGAGAATTTCACTTTCCTTGCTCCCTAACTGGTATCATAATACTAACCTTGTGGCCTGTACATGCTGAAAATTCGTATTCCGAAACTGCTGTTTAACAGGGAATGAGATGCCCAGTGAACACCCACAAACCTAGTTTCCATGTGAACACTAGTCTTACTACATCCAGACATGCCAATCCCAGCAAGGGTCCGACAAGCTCGACCCCTAAAGGCGCCCGGGCGCCTCCTCCTCCACATCGACCATCGCCGCCTAACATGGAGGAAACAATGACGGAGGAAGAGTTCTTCGAGTGGTTTCAGAATGCTGTGCAGTCTGGGATGTTCGAAAATTTCGGCACTTCTGCTGCAGAGACCCCATCCTCTTCCAAGGCAACTGGTGGGAGTGGGAGTACTAGTAAGAGGAAGAAAAGGGGGAAGAAGCAATGGTGAGAGAAAGGAGAATGAATGGTTGTTTTGAGACCATGTTGTGGCTGATGAGTATGAACAGAGAGATAGAGAGAGGGCTAGCTGTTGTAAGAAGTGGTTCTCATTTTAGTGATTTCTTCCAGTTCTGGGATGAAGGCTAGAGGAGGAAATTTGGCCTGCTTGATTTTTAGGGTGGCTAGCTAGCGCGGCTTATGTCTGTCTGTAACCATGAAGGTGGAAAGAGTAGTTTACTGTTCGATCAAGGGAATGCAAATTGCTTCGCGTAGTCTGTCTCCCATTTTGTTCTTTGTACCAATTAACCAAAGCCATCTTTGCTTGTTGCCTCAATGAGCCCTATATTTAAGGGGCTTGCTATTTGCCGCCAACCAAATTGCTATTTGCTGCCAAACAAAAAAAAAAAAAAAAGTATATATATACATAGTAGGGTAAGGAGTTTCACAATCTACAACATATCCAACTTTCAGAGAACATATTGAATCAGAAAAATTCAACGCTCGCCGGAAAAGTCGCCGGAAAATCATCGGGAAAGCCTATCCTCGACATATACTGCGTACACGCATCAATGAATCATCACTAAGCAGGTGCGTAATTTTTTTGTAGTTTCGAACAATTTTCCCGACGATTTGAAACGAACAGACGGTGGGCCGAAAATTTCCGGCGGCCGGAACCTGGCCGGGCCGAAAATTTCCGGTGGCCGGAACCTGGCCGAGCCGAAAAATTCCGGCGGCCGCAACCAGGCTGAGCCGCAAGATATTTTCGGCCCGGCCAGGTTCCAGCCACCGGAAATTTTCGGCCCGGCCAGGTTCCGCCCGCCGGAAATTTTCGGCCCGGCCAGGTTCCGGCCACCGGAAATTTTCGGCCCACAGTCTGTTTTTGCAATTTTTCGGAAAAATTCGATTTTAGGAGTTGAATTTAGAGTTTAGGAGTTGAATTTAGCGTGTAAGAATTGAATTTAGAGTTTAGGAGTTGAATTTAGCGGTTAAGAATTGAAATTAGCGTTTAGGTTCACAGGAATATTGATATATTATATTGTAATTGTAGGAAAAATGTCAGAGTTGTTACCGGCCGATCATGATTACACACATGAATTTGAGAATGGGATCCATTATGCAAGTGTGGAGTTAGCTGAGTTAGCTGCAAGAACAATCGCTCAGCAGTGTGGGTTCTTTATTGTTAGAGGATCATGGAAACCGAATACTGCTGGACAGAATCCTGTTACTGCCCTCTGTATGTATTGCGACAGAAGTAGTAGGATCGTTAAGTCTTATAAACCAGACCCTACGAAGGAGACGCGTGAGAATATTAGTTCGAAGGGTACTGGTTGCCAGTTTCAGATATGTATAAAGGAAGTATGGCAAAAGGATGGTCCAAACACATGGGTCATGGTGGGAGTGACAAGTCGTGAAACCGGAGCTAATAGAGGGTTTCACAACCATGAAAAGGTGTTGTATCCAGAACATCACCGACACAACAAACAGTTTAGTGAGGCTGAAAAAGAGAGGTTAAGATTAATGAGGAAGGCGGGGGTGAGACCAAATCAGCAGAAGACGACACTCAATACTGAAGGGGGTGTGCATCATGATATCAAACAGATGTACAACATAAATTCCAAGACAAGATTGGATGAGATGGGTGAAATGGATGCGATACAGTTTGCGCTTCACGGAGCTGAACATCGTGGGTACCATATCTGTTTGCAAAAGGACTCTAATAATGTGCTCACTAATCTGTTTTTTGCGCACCCGACGTCCATTCAGATGTTGCATGCATGGCCGTACGTCATCCTCATTGACTCGACCTACAAGACCAACAGGTACGGCTGGCCATGGGTTGAGATTATTGGGGTTACTCCAGTGAAGAAGAATTTCAACATTGCATGTGCAATTATTAAGCATCAACATTCCCATGCAGCATCAAAACTCTCAGGAATCCGAATGACATATCCACCAGGTGCCTCTGGTCGGTCTGCTCGCTGAGGACGCGAAGGGGCAGGCGGTACCATCTGAACATATCCAAACTGTCGGAGGCAACGGGCTGGATCATAGAACTCGCCTATGTCAGCGAACCGGATGACTCCAGTGTACAAAGAGCGACGCACTGCCTGATGAGGCCTCTGATGGAAAGGTGTCCAAAACACATCAGAAGGGGTCAAGCTGTCAAGAGCTCGACGGTAGAACGCCAACCTCACACTGGGATCCGCCACAGAACCAGGTGCCGGCTGCCCAATCCATCGTGAAGCCCAAGCATCATCAGGTCCAACGGCGGCAGGCTCGAAGTGAGATGGCCTGAAACCCGGAAAGTACTCGTAGATCCAACACTGCAGAAGTGTGAGACAACCAGCCATCCCCCTGGCACCAGCACGAGACGCCTGACCAAGGTATCTGTACAACCAAGCAAGTGTACCTGACGCCCAACTATACTGATCTAACTCCTCCAACTCGTCCAAAAATAGGTTCACCACCGACCGAACCCTGTCTCTACTCTTGTCCACAAACAAAGTGGACCCCAACAACAACAACAAGTACGACTGCGCCTCTGTCACATGTGTCCCGTGGCTCTGCAAGTATCTGGACGCCATCTCTGCAAGAAAACCACCCTTCTCGTACCACTTACCCCTATTATTATATCCAGGGACCTCCGTACGACCACTCAACTGCTCCGAGTTCATCCCAAGAAGCGCACACAAACCCGCCTCCGGATGGTCAAGCTGCGCAGAACTCCTACTCATCAGTCGTCCCTCAACAGGAATCTGCAGTAAGTACTGAACATCGTGGAGGAGGATCGTCATCTCTCCAAAAGGCAAGTGGAAGGTGTTCGTGTCTGGCTGCCACCTCTCCACAAAAGCTGAGATCAAAGCATCGTCAATCGCTATCCTGCGGAACATAGAGTACATCAGGTGCTGGAGACCTGACTGCTGAACCAGATTCTCCGCCTCAACATGACTAAACACGTAGCTACTCAAATAAGCAACCGCCGATGTACGGCTGTAGCAACTGATGACCCCTCGATCTCCAGCCCCCGTCCAAAGCGCATAGGCAACGTGTCCACGAAAGCTCCTAATGAGGCTAGGATCCGTAGGTCCACCAGGACACTCACCAACAAGCTCCCACGGTGGAGGACCACTCGAACGTCCTCCCCTACTCCGTCCAGTCCCCGAGCTCTCTGTCTCCTGACGAGCAGGTGGTACGAAGCGCCCAGCTCGGTCCCTATACATAGCAGGACGTGATGTTGCCGTACGAGACGACACTCGTCCATGTCCACGCGTAGGTGGAGGGACCTCGATATCCTCATCACTATCGTCCTCATCAAACTCAGCCGAGACCACTCTGGATGCAGCACCCTGGTTCCTCCCATGGGAACCAGACGCTCGTGATGCCGAACGAGCAACTACAGTAGGAGCCTCTAACTCATCCTCCCCTAAATTTGCCTGTGACTGATGTCCAATATCTCGAGAGCGCTTATTCTCCTTATTCTTCCTTCGTGCTGATACATCAACAACCCTACCATTGAATCTATTCAACTCATCCCCACCCGCATGACCCGCATCATCCATATCTAATTATCTACAAATTTACAAAATATCATACTTAGATGCGCACTAATTAATTAATTTTCTATTAACTAATGTAATATTAACATCAATTGTTAATTAATCACAAATTAATTAAATTTCTATTAACTAATGTACTGAATATTAACATTAATTGTTAAATCAATTCTTAATTAATTAAAATTCCATTAACTAATCTAAGTAATTAAACATTCAAACGCCTATTACAAAAAAAAACATTTATGAACCAACTGAAATAAATATTAACACTAATTGCTAATTTCTACTAACTAATTAAGTATTTATTTATTTATTAATTAATTATCGTATTAAATTAAATTAAATACAAAAACTGGCCGGGCCGAAAGAATTTTGCGGCCGGTGCGCCGCCGGGCCGAAAACAATTTGCGGCCGGAGCGTCGGCCGGCCGAAAAAAATTTGCGGCCGTGGCGTCGCCGGGCCGAAAGAATTTTTCGGCCGGTGCGACGGCCGGCCGAAAATTTCTTTCGGCCCGGCGACGCCACGGCCGCAAATTTTTTTCGGCCGGCCGACGAACACGCCGCCGGAAATTTTTTGGGCGGCGAGGTCGGCGACCGGCCGAAAAAAATTTGCGGCCGCGGCGTCGCCGGGGCGAAAGAATTTTTCGGCAGGCCGTCGCACCGGCCGAAAATTTTTTTCGGCTCGGCGGCGTATAGGCTGCAGTTTTTTTTCGGCCCGCCCTGTTTTTCGCCGGAAAACTGGAAAACTTGCCGGAAAACTGGAAAACTGGCCGGAAAAAATAAACTTACTTGTTTTCCGACGATTGAGGGCGACGGGAGGTTAGCCGACGATGGAAGAACGGTGCCGGCGACGGAGGCACTGGGCTCGTCAACAGAAGTTTTTGTTGGAATGAGTCAAATGTTCATGGGTATCCGAATTTATAGAATGAAAGGAAGGGAGGGGAGGGAAAATTCAAAATTTGAATTCAATTTTTTTTTTTTTTTTGGTTGGCGGCAAATAGCAATTTGCTTGGCGGCAAATAGCCGTTCACTATTTAAGTGTTGGGTAGGCGTAATTAATTAGGTGGATGTAATGTTGGCTCTCCTCTTTTGGCTTCCAGAATTCTGGGATTGGGCTTACAGTAAATAGAAGAGTGTCAGATGCTTCCAGCCTTTCCACAGATTTCCAACTTTAAATCGCTAGCTGCATGCAACGTGGCCACGTTGCAACCCCAAAACGACAAACTCCACCGCCACCGTCTCAAAAAAAAAAAAAAAAAAAAAACCTTTTCCATCATCATCAATCAGATTGATCTTATCTACCCCAGCCTATATATACCGTATAGCACTTTACGAGTTTACGTACCTCAACGTAAACTTCAACCTCTCTATATCAGAAAAAAAAAAAAAATGGAAGTAGCTTTCAACACCATTCCCGGCTTCGACCACTCCTTCCTCGATGTCATCCACGAGCTCATCGAAGAAACCACCACCGAGAAGTCCTCCGCCTCCGGCGGCGGCGGCCACCACCCTTCCGGGGCGTACCTCCGCGAAGCGCGTGCGATGGCCGCCACACCCGCCGACGTGAAGGAGCTCCCGGAGGCGTACGTGTTCGTGCTGGACATGCCGGGGCTTTCGGCCGACCAGGTGAGAGTCGACGTGGAGGAGGACGGGAGGACGCTGGTGGTGAGCGGGGAGAGGAAGAGGGAGAAGGAGAGGGACCAAGGGATACGGTACGTGAGGATGGAGAGGCGGCTGGGGAAGTATCTGAAGAGGTTTCCCATGCCGGACAACGCCGACGTGGACAAGGTTTCGGCGAGGTATAAGGACGGTGTGCTGACGGTGACGGTGGAGAAGAAGCCGCCGGAGGAGCCCAAGAAGCCCAGGACCGTTGAGGTGCAAGTTGCGTGATGGTGGTTGTGTAGTCGAGAATGTGATCACAAAGTGCTTTTGAATATGGCAACCTAGCTACTAGTATGTACGTACGTGTTTTTTCAGTTTCGGTGTTGGATGTACGTATTATGGTCCGGTATGTCCTCTTGAATAAAGATGCATGGTATATGTGTTGTATGTGCGTCCGTGCACGGTAACTTGTAGTTTGTTATCAATGTAGTCAAAAAATTTGTGCTTTAAAACTTAAAAACTTACAAATTTTACGTTTCTAGGTCACTAAAACGCTTCTATACAAAATCTCAGTTTTTATAACTTATGTTTTTAAAAACTCAGTTTTAAAATTTAAAAACTTACAATTTTACGCTTCTAGATCACCAAAATGTTTCTAAGTAGAAATTCGCTGCTTTTGACTACATTGTTTGTTATCATACAACAAGTTGTAGACGCTCCTTATTAATGGTGATAACAAACTCTAATTAATTGCTATAACTAGCTAGTCCTAAGAAATACTATGCTATAACTCTGGATCTCTGATGAACCAGAGACTGTGTAGCTTATTATATAGCAAACATGCGACCTAAGATCAACATAGGGAGCTCAAATCCTTATCCTCGTATTGATTAATAACATCTAAAATGATCAAACCATTATAGAAAAAGGCGAACCATTACCCAAAAGATCAAAACGATGGGGTTTTTTTTTTTTTTTAAACTGGCTCTGTTTTCATAACCTTATTAGCTGCTGATCCGAACAAGTTAGTACTGTTGATAGAAACCGTTCTAGTGAAAAATGTATGCAAAACACTAATTGAGGATTGAATTTAGTGAGGTAATTTTGATTCGACCCGTTTTATTCGATTTGTTTGATTTGTTTCGGGGCAGGTATGGGTACTCTCATCGATCTGATCTGTCCCGCTCCATTCTTAACCAGTTCTTGTCCTGTTCCATTCTTAACCGGTTCTTGTCTAAATTACTTGTAATCTTAATCAAATTATTTAGAATTTTCCTTTTATTTCATCATATTTTAGTTATAATAAAGTTGTAAATTAGTGAAAATCTCAATTTCTCCAATAATGTAACTATATTTATCATATTGTTTGTTTTCTTGGTCTTATAATAAAAATAACTGATATTTTTAATATTTTTATCTAAATTACATACCCATTGGATTGGCATGTCCCGATCTACGACTCGTAATAAATTATATGATCTGGATCCAACCTGCCACGGACAGATCTAAATAGTCGGTACCAAAAAATCCATCTCAAACCTGCGAATTGTCATTCCTAATTGAATTTATCACTAATTATAAATAATTTCAAATTCATATGATATATCCCAAATTTATAACAAATCCTTCAAACTATCTGAAAAAATGGATCATAAAAAATTATTAATTTTAAGTTAGTAATTATGGTGGCAATATTCTGCAATGGACTATATAATGTCGACCAGGGGTAGGAACCAAGGATATGAGAAAGTAGAAATAAAATTATTTATTCAAATTGGATGGCGTCCTAGTTTATATTAAAATACTTGAGGAATTTTACCATGCTTTAAAGCATTGGTGCTTTAGTTTTTTTTTTATGGTACAACTTGAAGTTGTACCTTTAACGTTATGGTACAACTTTAGGTTGTACCTATACTTTTTTGTAAAATCTTTTTATGGTACAAACTAAAGTTGTACATTTAAGTTATGGTACAACTTGAAGAGTTGAAATTGTAGCACAACATAAAGATCAAATTTCCTAATGGTACAACTCTAACTTGTACCTTTAACGTTGTAGTACAACTTAAACTTGTACTTTAAAGCACCGATACTTTAAAGCATAGTAGAAAAGCTCTAAAATACTTATCTTCATAATTTTTTGTGATTAAAATGATGAATCAGTGAATCAGTGAAATGGAAGTGACTCATATGATTTCATGTTGAACCGTTAAAATTCGTTAGGTTCATCCCTAACCTGATAAGCAAATAGGCAGAATTACTATTGTAATAGGTTAGTGATTCTACTGGTCGGACCAATGGGCTAATTGGAGCGCTCAAATTTCCGGGTTAAAGGACGGGTCGGGTGGCCCATCTATTCTGTTGTTTGTATCATCACCACACTCATCCTCCCGAGCTGCTGCTGTAGTTGCGCAGCTTGTCGTCAATGGAGTCGCTTTTCCACACCTCCTCTGTATTCTATCCAAACCCAACCCTTACCCGACGAGGGATAATCGCCGGCGGCAGCAGCAATTCTACCTTTTCATTCGACTTTCCCCTTCATTTCTCTTCCTCTTCTTCTTCCGCTCCTCTGCCGTCCCTCAATTTGAGGAGGGAATCGACCGCGGCAGTTCGCGCTCGGAAGAAGAAAGACAAGAAATACGAAGACGACAGCCATTACTTCGCTCCCAAACAAGATGAATCCACCGGACCTTTCCCCGAAGCCGTCCTTCTCCGGCAGGTAAATCTCTCTCGCCAATTTCAGAGGGGTTTTACTGGGGTTTTGCCTTTTTATCTTTATTCCTCTCGAATTAAGCTCTCTATGCTGCCATGGATTTGCAGAAGCAAGTGCAGGAAGACGGCAGCGTCATGCCCGAATTCGCTGATGGCGAAGAAGGTAAAACTCGTTATCTCTATCCCCGTGTTGTTTTCTCTTGAAGAAATTGCTGAATTGTGGTTGTGATGGGTAATTGTTCGTTTGATTTCTGCAGAAGAGCTATACGACTTTCTTAACCTGGAGCTTCAGAGCGATTTGAAGGACGACCTGAGTATGTAATACAACATTTCCTTTTCTTTCGCGTTCAGTTTCCCCCACCAATTTATTGGGTTTTTAGCTCATTTCAGAAGGTACTTCTATGGTTGAATTAAGGGTTCTGTTCTTATCTGTTTCCTTTGTTTTGTATTCATAGTGAGGCATTACGAAGTGGTTTATCTAATCCATGAGAAGCATGCCGAAGAAGTCGATGCTGTGAATGAGAAGGTTCAAGGTAGTGTGAATGACTATGTTACTTGTGCAGAGTTGAATTTTAGATTTGGTGAAATGTTCTTTCTTGCTTTCGTCAATGCCTTGTTAAAAGAAGCGTTGGTTTCTGGTTAGATTTCCTGAGGGAGAAAAAGGCGAAGATATGGAGAATGAATGACTGGGGGATGAGAAGGCTGGCATACAAGATTCAGAAAGCCAAGAATGCTCACTACATTCTGATGAACTTCGAGATTGAAGCTAGATGGATCAATGAGTTCAAGACCATGCTAGACCAGGATGAAAGGGTCATTCGACACCTTGTGATCAAGAGAGATAAAGCCATCACCGAGGACTGCCCTCCTCCACTCGAGTTCCATACCCTTCGTGCTGGTATGGATGATGATGATGATCTAGATGAAGAGCTTGACGATGACGAGGAGTGGGATGAAGAGGATGATGAAGAAGAAGAAGGTGAGGTGGAGGATGATGATGGAGTTGTGATTGTGAACATTGATGATGATGAGGAGGAAGAAGAGAATGAGAGTGTGAATTCAACTGGTTTAGGGAACTTGAGGAGAAGGAATAAGGTGGCTGATAAAGTGAGAAGGTAGTTTCTTCAGGGTAGGTTTGAGGGTAGGTTTGATTAGTGTGTGTTGATGAGTCCGTGGTTTTATCAGAAGATGGTTATAGTACAAGGTAGTTAGTTTTCCTAATATTGTTGAAGCTCCTTTGCCCTGGATCTTTCACTTTCTACTCTTGCCCTTGCTATTATTTGCATATCTATCCTTGTTTCAGCTGAGTAGGGCTTCATAGGTATGTCTCTTCTAGTAATCCTTCGAAGCCATATTCGATTTTGAATAGCACCTCGAGAGGTGTCGAAGCATTGAGCCGGTTCGACAGAGAGTTCAAGGCTGCGAGGGAAATGTCGATCAGGCTCAGAGCTGAGGCTAGTGTTCATGGTCTACGACTAGCTAGCAAAGCTTGAGGGTCAAGGCCGGAGAATTGCCTTGGCACTTCCTGAAGCCGGCCTGACAGGCATGTCAGTTTGTCAAGCCGACCTAAGAAGCTAAGAGCTGATATGAGCTCGGTTGTCAAAATGAACTAGAGATTTACAAGTGAGTAGAGAAGTTGAACACAAATTTGAAGGGCAACCAATGCTTTGCTTGTTTGGATGGATGGATGGAGTTAGAAACCTTAATGAAAGGTCGCACGCTTCTAGGCTCTATCAACATCCATCACTTTTGGCTTAGGTAGGAAATGTGAAATGAATTCGCATTTGGGGGGCAGTTGGTAAGGAAATGAATTGCGATACACGTAAATGTTTGAATTCCATACAACGCATTTATTTATTTTAGGTAGAATTTGTCTTCTTCTTAGCTAGGGGATGGATGCTCTACGCAATTCAAATTCGATGTCATGCTACGAATTCTGAATGACATTTGCTCCAAGACACTATTTTTATTGCAATTCAAACTAGATAACAATTTTAAGTGAAACGGGCATAAAGTCATAAACGGTAGACCATCACGGTGTTTTAAATTTTCATTAAACAGGAGGGAATACGTCCAACAGAATCGTATAAAGATCAATATCTAATAAAATAATCGAAAATATCTACGAAATAAATTAGTTACTAACCCTGTACAGAATACCTTTATGAGTTAAACAATAAAATGGAAAATTAACATCTACTTAAACCAAAAATAAATTACGTAACTAAGATATTCTTCTTGGCTACCAACACAAAAGAGATAGAGATGGCAAAAAGGAGAGAATATGGTTAACCTTAAACCCTTTCTCAAATACAACTAATCACATCACATGCCTAAAATTTTGCTCAAAAGAAAGAAGAAGAGAAAACAAAGAGGAACAGATCATTTTGCTTTGTCCTGAATTTGCTCCTCCTCCTCTCTTGAATGAGCAACACTTGTCCCTGTTCATCTCCACTTGTCCCTCTCCGCCAAAGCCATTATTTATAAATACACGTACGTACTTCCCGCAAATTGAACAATTCATTCGGTCATTAAAAACTCTTTGACACTACTACGTACTTCGCTCTCAGCCATGGCTACTTCCCACCTTGTCTGCTTCTCCTCCCTAACGGCAGTACTTCTCCTTCTTCTCCCATTCTCCCACTCATCTTCTTTCGGCGGCGACCGCTACCGCCCCCGCCGCCGCCCTCCGGCCATCGCCAAAGTGCCGCAGTCCGACGTCGATCTGGTCGAGTTCCCCTTGAATCTCGAGTACCTCGAGGCAGAGTTCTTCCTATTCGGCGCCTTGGGCCACGGCTTGGACGTTTACGCCCCGAACCTGACCGACGGTGGCCCTCCGCCCATCGGCGCTCGCAAGGCCAATCTCGACCTCGTCACCCGCGACATCGTCGAGCAGTTTGCATGGCAGGAAGTCGGCCACGTGAAGTAACTAACTAACTTGATTACTAATCGTACTACTAATTAAATTAAAGCTTTCACTTTCTTCTGCCGTTTCGGTTTAGTTGGCACTTGGTAGCATTTTTTTTATAAGGGTGATACTTGTTTAGATTTCGATTATTGAATTTCAATACGAGGGTTTGTTTGTTTGTTGGATTTGAAAAAAGGGTTTTGAAGAGAAAAAATAAACATTTGATTAATGATTGATTTATTGTGCTATGGATTCGCATAAAAGATTTTGATGATATATTTATAATGGATTTGTTACCGAGATCCAGCAATAATTTTATGTCTTTCCACCAAATCCTCACATAATATGTAGGATTTATAAGTTTGTGGGATTCATAAATTTCATTTCTAACAAAGAACAAAATTTGTGTACCTGATAGATTTGGCATCCATCAACAAACAATTAAGTTGATAAAATCCATCAATCTAAAAATTTGGATACCGAAACCAACTCCATGATTCAAATTCAACAATCAAATAACACCTCAATCCTCTATAGGTCGAGAACCAACTATCTAACCGTTAGATGAAGTCATTGGTGACTATTACTAACTAACTTTGTAATTATTGGCAGGGCAATCAAGAACAACGTGAAGGGATTCCCGCGGCCACAACTCGATCTAAGCCCGGCCTCATTCGCCAAAGTCATCAACGACGCATTCGGAAAATCTCTCTCTCCACCTTTCGACCCTTACGCCAACTCCATCAACTACCTCATCGCCTGCTACCTCATCCCTTACGTCGGCCTCACCGGCTACGTCGGCGCCAACCCCAAACTCCAAGGCCCCGCTTCCAGACATGTACGATTCCATTGTCATTCCTTCGTTAAAAATCGCGATTATACGTAGATTTCGACTAGTGAAAAAGGGTAGAAGCATTTTGGTGATGTTGAAGTCATATAACAAAGCGTAATCTTTTTAAAATATTTTTTTTTATAAAATCTTTACTCTTTAACCACCAGGCTACAATCCGTGTAATGTTTTAAATTTTAAAGCGCGCGATTTTGACTACATTGTTGCTCATGAACACTGTTTCTGAAATTCTGATGATGATCAGCTTGTGGCGGGGCTGCTGGCGGTGGAATCGGGGCAGGACGCGATCATACGTGGTCTGCTGTACGAGCGGGCGCTGGTTAAAGTGCATCCGTACGGGATCTCGGTGGCGGAGTTCACGAACCGGATCTCGGTTTTGAGGAACCGGCTCGGGGGCGCCGGGGTGAAAGACGAAGGGCTGGTGGTTCCGAAGGAATTGGGCGCGGAAAAAAGGGTGAGAGGAAACGTGCTGGCGGGTGACGAGTTTTCGCTGGGATACGGGAGGACTCCGGAGGAGATTCTGAGGATTGTTTATGGCGGTGGGAATGAGTCTTCGCCTGGTGGGTTTTACCCTAAGGGCGCACAAGGGCGGATTGCTAGGTCGCATCTCGCGTATATGTAGAAGATGATGAAGAACAGAGCGTTTTTTTAGAGATGGGTTGCTCCTGTAGTTTGTGTTTCTGTAGGTGTTTTAGTTGCTCTGTTTTTTTTTTAGCTGGCTGTACTTGTGATGTGTTTTTGGTTTCGTCCAAGTAATAAGAGTTGTTGGAGTAATTGTCACAAAATCAAAAAGAAAACGAGCTTATTACATCCGGGAGGAAAAGCGATATAAGAACTATTTTTTTGTGATCTATTCTATATTGTTTATAGGTACGGTAGATCGGGGAAAGATGGACTACATCGAAATTATTATTGAAAGCGAACGTATGATGTTGTTCGTGGAAAAAAATAAAATTAAACTCTTGAATCAAAGTAATTTGATTAAGTCACGGTCGCTAAAAGAAAAACGAGCTGAGAATGGGATGGAATGCAACGCAAGAGCGATCGTATGTGCTCTATTCTATATTATTTATCATGGATCATATCGAAATTATCATTGAAAGCTAATGTATGATGTGTTCATGAAAGGAAAAAAAAACTCTTGAATCATATTATTTCAATTGAGTCGCGGTCCGGAAAAAATGGACTGAGAAACTAGGATGGAACATACACGAGGTAAGAGTGATCTTCTGTGTTCTATTCTATACTAGTTATATGCACATAGATTGGGATGGGTGGATCAGATCGAAATCGTGAAAGCTAATGTATAATGTGTTCATGAAAAGAAAAAAAACTCTTGAATCAAAATAATTCAATTGAGTCAACGGTCAGCAAAATCTGAACATGAGATGCTGGCCAAAAAATAGTAATACTTACATTGAATAGGGAATGTCCTGATGTGGGTGATTCCAATTCCAATTTCTGTACAACTTCCAACCAGCTATACTTCATCAATGACCACATGTGCAATAACACCCAAACAACAATATAGCTAGAAGAAGCAAACCTCATTCAGTCAATCTATCAATTTCCACCACCCAACAACTAACTTGTGGTGATTGGTGTCTCTTAGACTCTTAGCCATTATCAGATATGATATCACCAAACAAAGAAATTGATCCTACTTTATCTAAGCTAGCTACTGTCAGGAAAGGAACTCAATCCTTCCACTACCCGGATTGCGGAGTCAGCCTTCCCTTCCCTTCCCTAGAATAAGCATCAATGACCAAATCGACCATATTAAATGTAAAAGCATCAGGCTTCATGCCTAAAACCACCATCTTGCCAAGAAGCTGCAGCTGCAGAGCTAGCTCAACATTCCCTCTGTCTGCAAGTGAGCTAACAGCTGAATCACCTCCAGAATCCTTTCCTCCTTACAAAATCCATTGATCAGAGCATTATACTTAGGCACGGAAGGTTGAAATCTAGTTGGAAGCTCTTTAGCTTCATCCACCTTCCCAAGAGTTACACATACATGATACTACAGTTGTATAGCTTACAAACATCCACAACCTTTATCCGACATTTGCAAGAGCAACTTCCGAGCAGCATCCACCCGATTGTTCTTACACATAGCCTTCAAAAGAATGTTGCTAAGTATAAACAATTGGTTCCATTCTCTCTGCCTTCATAATCCTGTATGTGGAACTAACCATCTCAAACCTATTCTCACTAAGCAATGCATCCAACAGGAGATTATACATCTTCAACCGAATCATCAATCCTATAGAAAAAAACTTCAGCGCCTGTTCGGATAAACCCACTTTCACAAAACTGTTCATCACATTCACGGACAAGTTGGGAATACAATGGAGTCCTAACTTCATCTGGTGAAGAAGGTACTGAATGCCATCAACATTGCCTTCACCACCAAGCCTCCGAATCATTGTTTCTGTAGACTAGGCCACTAGGGCGGTATGTTTGAAGGCTTTTGAATTGGCAATTGACTTGAAATAGTCTAGAGCTAGTGAACCCTACTCAAGCAAAGCAGCAACATTCTCTAATTCAACAAACGATGAACTCAAATCCCGCCATAATCACAAAGGGAAGACATACCCTTTTGAGGCGAAAGCCGATCCCACTGTCACATGAAAATCCGAAGCTTTTCTGTTTCCGTTTCTTTTCTTCATCGGAATTCGAACAGCAGGAAAAGGAATCGAGTTTCAGAAATGGAGGAAACGAGTTTCTCTTCTTCCTCCTGTTTTCCCCCGGAGGCGGGAAAGTGATGATCTGATGTCGTTTCAGACAAGAAGAAAAAAGATAGTACAAGGAGCTATTAGTAGGTTTATAAATTATCAGGGAGTTAACTGAAATTGACGGGAGATATAAATAGACCTAAACCAATTGAGCAACGAGTTTCTCACTTTCTCTCCGTCTGTGCGAAGAAGAGCAGAAGAGTTGGAGCTCTCTTACGCCGGCGGTAATGTCCTTTGCAACTATGCTCCGTAGCTTAGCTGCTTACTGCTTTCCGGCGATTCGTTTGTGATTATAATAATTGCTAGTAGGATGTGTTTCCGGTTGACGAGTTCTGCTAGGCTGAGATTCGGAATTCGCTTTTCGTTGAACGAATTGTTCCATCGAGATCTCCGATGAATTCAGTTATCCTTTCTTCTCTCGCTCTCTCTTTGTTCACTCCGTGAACTCACTTTGCTGCTTTCTTCTCCGATGAGTTGTAGAACTCTGTCGATTTCCGGCATCGGTGTGCGGAAGCAGTTGGGAGCTAAAACGTCGACTGCTCTTGCGGCTTGAGCTATAAGGTATGTGTTCGTTACAGTTTGAGATTACTTTTTCTTTTACTTCGAATTTTTTTGCTGTGTTATTCCTTTGAGTACTTGTTTCTCCGAGGAAGGATCGAGAGTAAGATCGGTGATGAATCTGAACTTCTTTGCTGATAAAATGTTTAGGTTGCGCCTTATTCAGCTTAGAGGAATATAAATTGGAATCAGACGTTATGGCTGTTGGACATGGTGACTCGAGTTCGTCGGACAAGAAACCGACTGATGCCTTGAATGACTTGCAAACTTTCAATGCCGAGAACTTGCAGAGTAACATGAAAGTTATTTATTACAGGTTCGTTCTGGTAGTCCATTAGATGCAGTAGTCTCATTTTGATGGCCTTGTACACTGGTGATGTTATCTTGATGTTGCATGAAAGTTCTGCTCCTAATTTGTGTCTCTTAGTGCTAAGTGGAGACTGAGAAAGTGTCTAGTATGAATTGTGTTCACAGAATTGATTTTCTCATGATAAAGCTCTGGCGAATGGAGTGAGTTTAGCGAACTAGCTTAGATGATTATGGAAAGACTAACGAGCTATAGACTAGGGGTGGAATGAACTCATAGTTTGTTACACATTTGCACAGGAGTTAGAACATTTTGTTGTTCTGCCTGTACTTATGAATCTGACATGTTGATTTTGTGCCTTCGAAAAGTTCTCTCAGCCTTTAGTGGTTGTGTAATTGCTGGAATTCTGGGATTCAAGGGCTTATTAGAATTGGATATTTCCTTGTTGTGGATATAACTTCATTTTTTCTGCTCTTTCCAGTGCCAGTTGTTTTATAATTGCAAAATTCAGTTTCATACTGAGCAACATTTCTCTTTGGTAGTGTTATGTAGCTCCTGTTACTTCTTAGTGAGACAGATTTGAAAACTGGCTCAGATTATTGTAGAGAAAGACTGAAGTGTTAGTACACCCGGGGTAAAACTAACTGATAGTATCATGCAGTCAGGACCAGAATAAGTATTTATGTATTGTATATTTCGTGTAACTTTTTGGCATCTTAACATTTTATCAATCATTGGTGGTGTGATTGCTGGTTCTGAGATTCTAGGGCTTAGGATTAGTTCTGTTTCCTTATTATGACTTTGTTCCATTAAAGTTCTGTCCCCTAACTGAGTGTCTCTTAATGTGAATTCCTGGTCCAGGCTAAGAAAAGTCTCTCCAAGATATTGTGTTCACATAATGAAATGTTTCAAAATGAACCTCCGTTAGTTTGGTGAATATGCAGAAATGGCTTATATAGTTTAGTACAAAGCCTAGTTGTTGCTAGCTAAGTAGTGGAATGAACTGTTCGTTCATAGGCTAGATTTTGTTTGTCTGAATCTGTGTATTAAATATGTTCATTTTTGTGTGCAGTCGGACGTTTCTGTCAATCATTGGTGGTGTAATTGCTGGAATTCTTGGATTCAATGGCGTGATAGGAATTGTTTTCTACTTCCTTGTCATGGCTGTAACTTCGGCTGCACTCGCAGCCAAGGCAAAGTTCTCTGTTCACTCCTACTTTGACTCTTGGAACCGAATCCTGCTTGATGGCTTCTTTGGTGGGCTTATGGTATGTTTCTCTTAGTTTCTCACTATCGACATCTTCTGTTCAGTTTTTTAATCTTTTTTTTTTTTAACAGGAATGAGATGTTAGAAGTGGGCTTTTCTGACCCTCGTTTACCCCGCTTTTCTGATCTTAAGTTACCCCGCCCATAAGAAATTGACCTCCATAAGATGTAGTTACCATGGATACTTCACTATAATATCTGCATGGTGCATCAAACTCTAGGTTGATTTGTTAGAGCTTTGAAGAAATTCCTGCACTAGTTAACCGTTATACATAGAGACCTACCAACAAGTAAAGTGAGAATAGATAGCTCCATCTTTGTGTATTATTCGGTTATTATCTTAGAACTGCATGAATGGCTGGTTTTCTGTTATTTCTTTAGCTTGACATTTCTTTTCTGTTTTCCTGTGCAGTCTTTTGTGCTCTTCTGGACGTATCCTTCACGCTTTTGAAATATGGTTTCTTATTTATCTTCCGGTAATAGATAGCTAAAACCCTATACAACGTAGTAATGAGAACATAAACCAGATATTGAGATAATTGTCACGTCATCTTTCATTACATGATAGGTCTGGCATGCTAGTTAAACCCAACGTGAGAATTAAAATATAAATCATGGGCAAATCCGATGTATGCTAGTTAACTGAGTAAGATCCTCTACAGCAACAGTTCGACATTCAAACTGTTGGCGACCAGATATAGACCTCTCTGCCATGCCATATTTACAATTGTTGGGAAGCAGCACATTAGCAAGGTAGATATGTATTGTTCCTTGACGTGATAACAGATTTGCATACGACATTGTGCACATATTCTGATCGCGGAGTACATTTCATCCCATCTTAAGCGCGGAAGGATGGATGGATGGATGGATGGATGGATATTCAGTAGCAGGCGGAGTTCTCTGATGGTTACAAGGACCCTGTACCAGAGTGCAAAATACCACAGTGGGAATCACTTTGGTTTTGCTCGTCTTAGTTTGGTAGCTTTTATTTGATAAAACTGGGGGAATCGGAGTTGTTGCATTCTGGCTGATGAAATGTTTTCCATGATTCTTGAGGCTTTCCTCTTCTTTCCCTTTTCTTTATTCCGAAGTATCTCGAGGTGGCAGATTGGGCTAGGGAAATGGTTAGTTAAGAAGTATGTGCGAATTTATCATTGGGTATGTTAGTTTCTTTCCCAGTAGAGTAGTAACGTATCAAGGGAACGGTTGACCTGAACCTAGGATCCATACACCATTAGATAGGATTATTGCTGATAACTCATCTTTATTCAGACAAGAACATCAGATAAAGAAAATTGTATTTCCTCGGTTTAAGTTTAAATCTAGCTAGGACGTTGTACGAAACACGAATTCGGGCAATGATACCACTAGTGGATTGCGATGAACGAAAGAATGAATAACGCGAATGCATACTTTGTATGACATACAGACTCTGATTCTTATAGCTCAACCCAACAAAGTATATTTTGGAGTACTATCACAGCTACACTTAATCGACCCGAGAAGGAAAGGGGGCAAAATACAGGGGGACCTCTTCTCTTTGGAGATCATATACTCACCTTGCTTGTTACCTATACAAAGGTAGAAAATCTTCAAACCAAAATACTGGCTCAGCAGTCAAGAGCGGCACAATTCCTTCCTTCTTAGCAGCTCAGATTCTTTGCACAAGAAGCAAAGATGCGAGAACAAGCATATAATGTTCCTATTTGGAACTCTGCGTGGTGGCCCGTTAAGTTTAAACCTGTAGATTACCAGACAGTCAGAGTGCTCCTATGACGAAAAAACGGTATGCATCTATAATGTTGAGATGGTCGATAACAAAGAGCTAATTCTTACCATTAACTGGGGAACTCTCAGAAATATAAAGCCCAGCGAGTACAGAGCAGTGGAAAGAACTGCGGCAGTTATAATGTTGTGCACCAGCCGCTTATTGTCTTTGCTGGGCACAAAAGCAATCTTCAATGTATTTGTCAGCTCAAAGAGTCTGTATGAAACCTATGGAAGCAGCAACAAAAACAAGCTTCAGACAATACTGCCCCCTATAACAACCAAAGGAAGCATATGACATCCGATACTTACCGCAACATATATCACACTAGTAAGCATGAAGTTAAGCAGCGGATAGTCTGGGATCAGAGATAGCAGTAATTTTGGTTGAGCATCTGGGGTGCTTGATCTGCAAGTTCATTACCAGAAATTCAAATCACAACCAAGTATGAGATTGATATATCTTTGCTTATGGAAGACAAGGTAAGAAGTATGAATCTACAAAATATCACTAAATAAACATACAGCCCATTTCTAAAAAGCAAAACAAAAAAGTAGGAGTCTTTGTTCCTTTGATTTTCTATCAAATTAAGAATTTGTAGGAGTCATAACTTAAAGTTTAGGAGGGTTTCATAAAATTTATAATAAGACATTGAGTTGCGATAACCAAAAAGCTAGGATGGAACATGACATGGTTTGTTCAAATGAATCTAGCAATGAAATCATCTTATGGCGTGGCTTTGAGCTTTTAAAATTATGTGTAGGGTTGTGAATAAATAGGTCTAGTGTGTTTGTTTGAGATAATTTTCTAAAAGCTTAAATTTTAGAAGCTAAAACCATAAATGACACAATCATACAGAAGTCAGGCGTACCTCAACCAGATATGGAACTGAGAAATGTAAGTCTCCAGGGTGACTTTTCCAAGCCATCTAGTGACCACATAACAAAATGTCAGAAGTCAATAGGTAAGCATATATTCACAGGGTTAACAAGTTAATATGTAAAGCATGTAACTTACGCAAAAAGGGTCAGGCTGAAGTTCCGGAAGTACTGGGTGACATTCCTCAGAACAATGTATACACTATCAATGACAAAAAAATGAATCAATCAGCATAAGTATAGAGCAGTCAAATGTACTACTTAGTACTTAGGGAAGCATTACATACGTTATTGGTATCCATGAGGTGTAAGGATGGAATTTGTTGTATGTAATCTTGTCCAACTTATATACATACTCAAGCCACAGATATCCCACCTATGAATTTCAAGGAAGCTAGTGAGTATTAACAGACAAACAGAAAGGGAGAGGGATTGGAAGAGAGAGAGAGAGAGAGAGAGAGAGAGAGAGAGAGAGAAGCAGTACATACCGTTAATGCAATTGAAGACACAGCAACTTTTATTGATATTCTACGTTTCATTTCCATTTCTTCCAGCTTCTCCATCCACCTTTCTACCTGTAAAGTCATACAGGAAAAAACATCAACAAAACCAAAAAACTAATACTTAGTCCACATACTAGAAATGCCTCTTAATTTTGAGTGGAACTCACTGTCGGATGATAGTATGCATAAATCATTCCAATTATCCAGATATAACGATCAAGCCCAGAGCGGAAATGCCACTCATGCAAGAGTGGTAAATTAGGTTTTGCAGGATCAGTGTAACCTACAACAATTTCATTGTTAGATATAGGAAGGCCAGTAGTCGTGCCGAGCTATGACATCAAACAAACTTATGAGAGATACCAACCAAGAAATATAGTGAATGGGCCCCAGAGGATCTCAAATATTCCAGGAATTTCCCATATGAAAATCACGACCAAGAAGCATGCAATGATCTTTGCTCCAATGACTAATCCGATTTCGTTGTACTTGTGCAGAATACCGAGGGCCCCGTACACCATAAGAGTGAAGAGAGTGTGCATTGGGCAAATGTAGTATAGCATGTAACTGTTATTGAGAATAATGCAGCAGAATATGACCAAGAAATTAAGCCGCCACATCATCTGTTAAGAACAATAAATTTAAAACTTTAGTTGGCTCTTAGTAAAGACAAATTAGAGAGAGGCCATAATCAAAATTCCAACAATATCATACCTGTGCAAATCTGGCAAGACTAAAATCCTTGCGCACGTAGTAATAGGAGAAGTTCCCGAATCCAGTCATCCAGACATATGCAGCAATAAACACTCGGATTGCATTATACAGCTCCGTTGCAGCAAAGTAATGGTACATCAGAAATAGAACCTGTTACCAATGATACGAAGACTAATTATTTTCCCAGCAACGCGTGCTCTAGTGAAGCTATGTGGTGATATCCACAATGTGAAGATTAGGCAAAAAGAAAGTAGACAAACCTGCATCCAGCCTTTCCACTCCTCGGTTTGATGTCTGTTCAAGTAAAGAATGGGTTTTCCAGAGAACGGTGACTTATCATGGTGTATCGTGAAAGAAGTAATGGCTGAAACAATGATGAGAATGAAGTAGAGGAACAAGAAAAGATCCCGGTTGTAGGTCTGCACAAAAGAGAAAGGCTGGTTGTGAAGCAGACACCTACCATGACTAAAGTCATCTTTTTTGCTTGTTTCGATATATAAATAAAAAGGCAGCAACTCGGAGTAGATAACATAGAACTTCAAAGAGGAAGAAAATGAATAAGAGATAAATTGGTGGCAAGACCTTTGTTGAAGAGCCAAAGACATCAGTGCGGTCGCAAAGGTAAAAGTACACCAAAAGGAAACCAAACTCGGATCTGTACATGGCAGAAGACGGACTCGTCAAAAGTGATTCTACAATAAAAATTGAGTTATCTCAGAGTCAAACTCAAAATACTTACATTGCTCTAAGATTCAATCGATTATCCAACAAATACTGCTCATCCATCAAAAGGAACCTAGCAAGTACAATGCACACAGATTTATTTTTCCCTCCAAACCAAAGGGAAAAAACAGATTACCAGAACATAAATGATCTGGAAAAAATTTCTCCACTAACCTGAATATCGGAGATGAAGAATGCAAGTTACGAGCCCCAGGAGAGACGGATTGAAGGCCCCCTCCTTCCAACAGAACAGCTTTATCATCGTCTTTGACCACATCGAGCCCCACTTCCACTAAACTGATATCCGAGTGCCTACTAGCAAAGACCGTAAACTAAATAACACGAAACAGAAGCAAGAAACAGACACAGCAATGGCAAGTGCATTTCTCTGGTTCTGATCAAACAAGCCGTTCATGACCAGCATACACGGTATTTTCATATAGTAACTAGTGCAGACCATAGAACGGAGCTGAACTAAGACAATGAGAGTTTGCACTTACGCTTTGGTTACTCTCTTTCTCTTGTACTCCAGAAACTCTGAGTAGATATACGCAGCGAACACAGGAATGATTCCAAGGAAAAAGGAGACCTACGTATCAACACAACACACAATTAAGATCAGAAGCAACGCATCATCCATGGACCTACTACCTACTAATCACAAAACAGAAGTCGGATCAACCGCATGCACCGACGAAACTCTCTACTGAGAAAATTCCCCCAAGATACGGCTCGGAATCAATGGAAGAACGAGATCTAGAAACTTAAACTACTCGGTTAGACCAGGAATTGAAAGACGCACCTGGCCGGGAGTGATAGGACTAGAGATCGCCATGAGTACGGCTGCTTCGAAGCGCAATTGGTAGCGATCTCACTCGCTAATCAACGCGCATCTCAGTCCGGAGCGTATCGAAGTGCGTCTCGCAGATCCGATAGCAATCAGACTACTCCTCGCACTGCAAATCGGACCGGCGAAGAAGTGCTAGATTTGCCCCGAAACGAAACCGCCGGCGGCGAGCTCAGCTGGCAACCGCGAAATGCACAGCAACGGGAGCGGGAAATCGAGGAGACCGGAAGAAGGAAATCCGAAAATTTCTACGGAACGGAAGAGACCGGAGTCGGCCGAGCGAAGCGGGAGAGACCGAGAGGCGAGAGAGAGAGAGAGAGAGAGCAAACGAGTAGAGAGCTTGCAGTTAGTTGATGCTGCGGATTATGATTATCAGAAGAGGGCAACCGAATTTAATTATTTTCCTTTTTGTTTAAAATATTTATTTCATGAAATGGCCGTGGTTTACACACCGTTGGATTTGATTTATACGGCTGAGATGTGAGCTGGTAGAAATAAATTGTGTCGCTTTTTGTTACTAATTTAAGCTCGTCGTATCAACGAAGAAATGGCATGGTGCATTTATTTGGGAAGTGGATTGGTTGATGAAGATGACAGACGCAGACATTTGAACCTCAGGCTCAGGCTTTCGATCCATTTTTCTCCTTTCTCTCCTTTCTCTCATTTCTCTCAACCTTGTGAACAACCGTAGCTTGCAAGCGAAACTATTGGCCACTGGGAGTAGGCGGGCAGATTGAGTAGCATGATTTGGTTTGGGTTATGGGTTAGATTTGGGATCCGGTTTGGTCTGCTTGGCCGGCTGATTTGATAAACAAGCAAGCAATCGATTTGGATCGTGGGGGGAGAGCGCTGTCGGCACAGAATAAGTATTGGGGAGCGTGGGAATGATGGACAGATGGCGTCGTCCTCAATTCCCAATCACCGATATTTGACCCCAGTCCATTTCTTCTTCTTCCGCTGACACTGTTTATTTCGCCCACGTTGACCGGATGGGCCATGCGCCCATAGTAGCGGAGATCGGCCCAGCCCAATGTAATCCACGGTTGGCCCATAATACGACCTCAAATTGTAGTAGTTGTACTTTTGGCTGGGTGGAGGTTCTTCTAGACGATAACTTTTGGTTGGGTGGTGGTGTAATGTAACACGGTGGGCTAGCTGGAGAACATAGAGTAACGGTTGGCCATATGCGGCGTTATCACCGAATCATACAATGGAAAATTTCATAATTGGCCACCGAAGAAATGTGAAATAGTCAACACACTACACGTGTTTCCTAACGAGCAGGAAAGTAGACACTAGGCAAACCCAAAGAGATAGGTGTCTCTCACTATATAGTATAATCCGGGTAGTTATCATAAATCGTCACAAAATTATTCACTTTGTATAAAACGGTCACAATCCTTTAGTTTAGTACGTTTCGGTAACAAAAGTTTGAATGAATAACAAAATAGTAAATCCTTCCAATTCCGTCCAAAATTTCGTCCTAGATCTCCCCGTCAGCAAGACACGTCAGTGTAAATAATAATAAAAAAATGGCTAACCAACCCACTTAACCCGGCAACCCAACCGGCCAGGTTATTGAATAGTGTTTGGTATAATCACGTTGAATCACTTGGTTAACTGTTATCCGGTTAACCGACAAAATAACCGAGAACCGACTATATGGTTACGATTAACCAACTAATTTAAACGGTCCAATTAATGTTAAGTATAAAGAGCTTAACGGTTAATCGATAACCAACTAAAAAGTTCCGATTATGACCGAACCGATATCAGTCTTAATTATAAGACGAGTTTGCTTTTAGTTTGAGCATTACTATTCATAAGATTGAATCGTGAAGTATTCACTATGTTTGGCAACAAGGGGGGTGCAAGTTCGAGGGGGGTACAAGTTGAGGGGTAAATTGTTGGGGGGTGCAACTTGGTGGAGGGTGTAAGTGGAGGGGTAAATTGTTGTTTGGATGAAAAAGTAGGGGGGTGCAAATAGAGTAAAAAGTAAGTAATTATATTATTATAAAATAGATTTATCAATTTATAAAATATTATCACAAAATAATAACATGAAAATTCAATATATAATAATAAAAATAATAAATAAAAATAATTTTAATAAAAATAATTATTATATAATAATGCTCAAATATAATTATTTATAACAACAATAATAATCATTGGTCGAGCAACCTCGAAACTCGAAATCCAACTCGTAACTGGTCATCCTAAGGGGGTTCTCGTGCCTAACTTTAAATTGAATATGGTCAAACTTAGTCAAACACGTTCGAATCTGTAAGTTTTAACTACTTATTAAAGTAAATCGAGTTAACTAAACTGTTCCTCTCTATCTTTTCAACAAATGCTTCTTATCTCTAATTTTCAATGCAAATTCGGGTCAACTAAGAGATATCGATTTGACGAGGCGAACATTGACAAACTTGCTCTCTTAGTCAAACGGTCAACCCCAAACAACTTCTACACTAATATAGATATAAGAAAAAATTAATAATATTAATTATTATGTAATTATAATCTAATTAAAAATTCATAATTCCCCTCCTCCTCCTTCCCCCTCCCTTCCTTCCTTTCCTTGCACCCCAATTTGGGGGGTAAGCCGAAACAGTGAATTTACGCTCACGTTTTGCACCCCCCTACTGTTACAAAATAACCAAACGGGGGTAAACACCTTGGAACTTGTGTTTACCCCTCCAAACTTGCACCCCCTTCCATTTGCACCCCTTCCCAAACATAGTGTTATGGTTAGGATGTTCTTAAAAAAATAAAATATGGACTCATCGAATTCATAAATCATTAGACTCATTGATCTAAGTGTCGATTGAACTTTGGCCTATCGTGAAAATTTAAAAAAGAATAGTACAAAATGTCATCATAAGAATTTTAGATAGCAAAATGTAATTTTTATGATATGTTCATAAGAAAATAAAATATGGATATCAAATTATTAATTTTGTAGTGGACTAATTATACTGATGAATTAGATTCAAATGGTCAACTTTATCATCAGCTGGCCAATAATAAGCAAGTCAAATGCATTGATCATCAAATCTGAAAACAATACCAAATCCATAAACCAATTACCAACCTAAAAGCACAATAACGGGGTAGTTCTTGTTTCTTGCAATAAGAGAAGATTAGTTCTTTGTCCATCAAGGAAAACAACTAATCTAAAGCTTCCAACTGAAGCATATCTCTGAATTTTACAAAGCAAGCATCTAATGAAGGAAACCACATTGCACAGGTCTTTCTTTCTCACCGATGCAGTGTTATTCGAGAAGTCTGGAAAGTGGAAACCCCCTCCTCCCTGCACAGAAACAGAACTCCAATGAAGATGTGCAAAAACAAACTGCTTTGTAGAAAGAAAGAAAAAGTGGGTAAGGAAAGTGAGATTGACCCATCAAAGTTAAACTTGGTCACAGACTCATAGTGCTCCAAACACCGGCCTCTATCGCTTCGGTGGGCTCTCGTTGTCCTCATCATCTTCTCCGATCTCATCCTTGCTTAATCGTTGCCGCTTTGCTGGACCAGTAGGATCTTCCTCCTCATCATCGCCGTCGTCGTCATCCACCTCACCATTTTCCTGGGGCTCGAAGTCACTTCCCGAACGCTGCTCCATGGAAGAATGGATGCACAAAATGACAGTTCAAAAGTAGAGACGAAGTGACAAACGAGGGACAAAGCCATCTTAACATCAGAAAACAAGAACAATTGAGGAAACCAGAGAGAACCCAAATGTGAAAAAGAATATGGCGAGAATAGAAGCCAGATCTAGGGGGAAAACACGGTATCCAATTCAATCCTACGGAAAATTTTGAAGACAATGGACAGAACCAGGGTGGGAATCGTCAGATCTGGTAGAATTTCGTCTCAAAACCATGTGCAAATGAACGACAAAGAGTAAACCAAACAGTAGGGTTAACAAGAGAATAGCTAAATTTCGTTACCTCTACATGCACGCCTTCGTCATCCACTCCGTCGTCGTCTCCCTCTTCAGTTTCGTCTAACTGTATAGCTGGCTCGCCGGAGGAGTTCAACGCCTGCTCGGAACCGTCATCCTCAACGCCTTCGGCTTGCTCGTCTTCATTCTCGCTCTCGTCTCCCTCCTCTTCGTCTTCCACTGAATGAACGGCTTGCCCGCCGGAGGAATCCAAGGCCTTCACAGTGTCGTCATCGTCACCGCCGCTGTCATCATCCGTCGAAATCGCTATCACCTCTTCCTTCTCTTCCCCATTCAAAGCTTTTCCTTCCGGTCCAGTCATTTTCATTTCCAGCTACGCCGATTCGTGAGAGAACTTCAAGCCGCGGAATACCGTAATTTGTTTCCCGGGAAACAATTGAAATTTCGTGAAATACGGAGTGAGGAGCTTCTTCGTTCACTGACTTCGATCTCAGCCGTTGGAAGAGAACCGACAGGGATTGGTGACGTGGAAGGTGATCGGACGGTAGAGGTGGATGTGTCCTGCATTCTTTTGGAGAAAGCATCTCGGCCATTTTACGCTAGATTTTCAAGTCAGGTGCAAGTCACGTGCGGCGGTGGTCTTTGGGGGCATTTCGTGATAGGATATTCCTTCCCGGCCTGTCACGGATCACGGCCCATATTTAGTTCCACTGATGCCCTAGAGAACAGGGCTAGACCAACTCTGTTTTCCGCATTAATGGGCTCGAATTAGTTTTCCCCATTAATGGGCTCTACCTAACAAATGGTCAGTTGACCCACAAGACATTGGCTCAGTTTGGCCATGTTGTAGATTTTGCATAAGCATCTTCTAGTTTGACCTTTTACAGGTGTTTGGTCCCAAATGAATCGAGAATTCGTTTCATTGTAAAATGAATTACTATTTAGAATCTATTGTTAAATGAAATCTTGTGTTTGGTATGTCATATTCAAATCTTTAGAAATAAAATGAATTGTCGTGTAGAATTCATTGTCAAATGAATTCTTGCGTTTGGTATGTCATATATATAAGTAATTTAGTTAATAAAAGAGAATAATTATAACATTTTGTTATAATTGGTAAATACTAGTGGAATTCATTTGGAAATTCCATCTCAATTCCTCGGAATTGCTATAACTAGTTCCAATTTCAATGAATTCTGTTAAATATCGAACACAAAAATGTTTCATTTCAAAATGAATTCCTCAAAACTTATGGAATTCATTTATACCAAACGGTATGTTAGAGAAATACTATTAAAAAAAACTGTTGAGTGTTTGGCTGAAAAACTATTATAAATGTTTTTTAATATGAGAGGTCGTGTAAAATGACTATAAGGACTTATAATATAAACTATGAATAATAATTTTAAACAATAAAATGTAGTCAAAATGGATCTTATAAGACTTCTTTTATATTAAATAATATGATTTTATTTTTAAAATGATATACATGAAAGAAAATTATTTTCTGAAATAAATTAAAATATGGTAAGGATAATCTTGTATTTTCAAAACATCTTCTCGTCGAAACTCCAAATCGAAGATTATGCATTTATGTTATGCAAAAAGTTTTTCGACTTTTCAAAAGCCGAGCTTTTAGAGGTGTTTGGCTCTGCTTTAGCTTTTGAACCCGAATGGTACATTTAAAAGTCGTGCCAAACATAGGCATTGTAGAAAGGTAGTCGACTCTCATACTTCAACCATTCACCTACTGCGATTGGGAGAAGATAAGCTCGAATTGGCCATACTTGAAAACCACTGTCAAACCGGTGTGCTCAATTAGTACGATATTGTCTGCTTTGGGTCCGCGTTCCGGCGGATAAAAGAGAGTTCCGCTTCTGGGCTGCATCTGGTTTGGTGGATTTAGGAGAGATCCACATCTGGTTTGGCGCATCTAGGAGAGATCCGCGTTTGGGAAAATCCTTGTACTGAGAAGCTCATCGATAAAAGGTGTCTAGCAGATCAAGATAATCGCTGAGGTGAGGACACGATGTTTGTGGTCCTTGTCTTGAGGGGAGGATTGTTAGGGGACAATCCAAGTACCACACCAGTAATACAAGGGATGGACCCTTGTATATTAGAGTCCACCTACCAAATTAGTACGAGGCCCTTTGGGGAGGAAACTCAAAAGTTAAACCGTGTGGCCTTGGCCCAAAGAGGACAATATCGTACTAATCGGACGGCTCGGTTTCCCCAAAAAGGCCTCGTACTAATTGGGCTAGGTGGACACTAATATACAAGTGTTTCTTCCTTGTATTTCCAATGTGGTACTTGGAATGTCCCATAGTGATGGCAATTTCAACCCGCCCCGCGGGTATTACCCGACCTGACCCGCGTTAGGGCCGGTATTACCCGACCCGCAGTAGCGTGGGGCGGGGCATGGGTATCTACTTCCGCCCCGCCCTGTTCTAGACACATTTTATCTCAATTTCTTACAATATCTATACATATTTCTCCTATTTTTGACTTTTCTTCAACTAGTTAGAGTCGATCTTTCAACTTGTTAGGCTCAATTATTCATTCTATTATCAATATTTTTCATTCTTAAAGTGTTTTTCCCTACATTTTCTATTTTAAAAAGTAAAATTTACTTGTATTTTTTTAACAACATGTTAGAATGGATCGACCCGGCCCGTACCCACCCGCCCCGTTGCCATCACTAATGTCCCATAACAATCACCATTATTCAAATCGAGCGAATGAGGTGAGGTGTGAAGTCAAGCAACTAAGAAAATTTCAAAGCTTGAGCTCAGAGATGATGAAGAAAACAAAGCTTGAATAAAATCCCTAACTACAAGCTACAACAACATAACCAACCAAGTCTACTACTCCGTGACAGGCCACGGATGACAACTTGGTCAGGCATTTGGGTTACATATGTGGCCATTCTAACAGCCACAGTAAGTCCCCTTTATACCAAGTCCATTTCAGCACAAGAGAATAACCCCTAAGAAAGAGTTAAACTTTGGTCACAACCCTAAAATTAATACATCAACACAAGAAACCACGGTTTTATATCATCGCTTTGATGGCCTCACGTCGTCCTCCCCACCATCATCATCGTTGTCGTCGTCGTCATCATCGTCATCGGTTTCATCCTTGCTCGCCCTCTTCCTCTTCGTTGAACCAGCTGATTTGCCCAATTCTTCATCGTCCTCATCGACTTCCTCGTCCTCAGCCTCGCCATTCTCTTCAGGTTCAAAATCACTTGCATCTTCCTCTTCTTCTGGGCGCCCCACCGGTCGGAGGAGGTAATCGGTAGTCAGATCCTTCTGCATTTGAAAAAGCGAGGTACGAATATGAGTAAATTCATTATCAATTCTTGTGAAACCATAGTAAGCTAATAAGCTATCAGTCCTGCTCGAATGGGTGGACCAGTAAAGTGAACCAATACGGTTCAACGTGTATAACCAGCAAATAACCAGTATCAAATCAATCACCATCCAAGACACGACACAATTTGTTAGGCAAAGACAATGGTTCAACAACCAGAAACCCAATTCAGACAAACAAACAAACAAAAAAATAGTAGATCCCTGAGGTAAAAATGGTTTCAGTTGCCGGTAAATCTACTAAATCCAGTCGTGTAAGAAGAATGACAAAGGAGCTTAAAAATGGTGGGTTACTGAGTCAGTGTAAAATTATCAGTATGCTGAAGGCCAATCAGGGCTCTGTCTTCTCTTCCCCTCCACTCCTCATAGTGGCCAATTGGCCATCAACCAATCACAAAAACATTTAAACCCCTAAATGGCATCGAAGTATATAGACAATAAGATTCAGATAAATGAAAATTCCAAAACAAAAAAATTCGCTAAAGAATTTACGATTTGGTCAGAGAAGAAAGTCTAATTAGGTTAACATGGTCATCGAGTGGAACTAAAATTGCTACGAAACTCAGTTTGAGAGGCGGATCTGAAGACTGAAGGCAGTTGTAATTCACAAAAATAATAAACAGGCCAGAGAGGTCAAAGGTACAATTAGTGATGAACGATCTAAGCACAACCAGAAGCAAAACTATACTGAAAAAGTAACGATTGGAGTAAAAAATCCTGATGAATAGAAGAAGCAAAAAAGCTCTCATCGCTTAATTGACTACAGAAATTTTGAGATCTAATGGAATTTCACCGGAAAACGATTAGCAAACACGGATCTACAATCAGTTAAACAATAATTAAACAGTGGTAACAAGCAATAGTGAATACCTCTCCTTGCTCGTCCTCATCATCGTCGTCATCGTCATCGTCGTCATCATCGTCTCCACCTTCATCTTCGTCGTCGTCCTCATCTTCCTCATCGTCCTCGTCGCCGACGCTGTGGACGACAGGAGGGTCAGAAGACGGCAAGGCCTGCTCGGAATCCTCGTCGTCAACGCCCTCATCATCGTCGTCGTCTTCTTCATCTTCGTCGTCCTCATCGTCATCGTCGTCTTCGCCGTCATCATCCTCGACATCATCGTCCTCATCAACAACGGCGGCTTGTTCCTCCGCCTCGCCGTCGTCGACCGCCGGAATCATCAGCTCCTCCTCGGACTCAACCTCCTTCAAAATTACTCCTTCCAGCTCGGTGAATTTCATGTTGAAACGGGAAAGATCAGAGAGAGAGAGAGATGGGAGAATCGAACAACTGGAAGGGAGTTCCTATCTTTATTGGAGATAAAATTATCAACTGAAATAACTAGGATTGGAGAGCGCAAAAGGGGAAGAAGGGTGCAGGTCGGGGAAGAGACGAGCTTGCTCGTTCGTTGAACCAGTAGCTTCTGCAACTTCGATCCCAGCCGTCCAGACGCGGGACGACACGGATCGATGACGTGGAAGGAGATCGGACGGTGGAAGATTGAGAATAATGTATTTCTTGGGAGACAACGTCATTGCGTTTTCGGCGCTGAGGTAAACTCCGTTTTTTCTTTCAGTCAGGCGCATGTCACGTGCGAGGGCGCCGATAGAGGCATCTATCCTCTAGGGTTAGGGTTTCCCCAACTCCCGCCTTCGAATATTCCTGGATTCCCACTAATCGTCAACTCCCGCTTCAGAAAGTTGCCGCCTATGGAATTGGGCTTTAGTAGACTGGGCTTTCTGCTACTTACCCTTACTGCAGATCCGGCCCAAACTAGATTTGTACTGCTGAGTTTTGTCGTGCATGTTTAGATCTTTACACGAATTCGGACCGAGTATTTCACGGCAAAATCTGAATTTGTAAAAACTATGATTTACATTTCCTTCCAAAAGTGAATTGAGCATGATCGGTGGTGGCTGTTGCTTGATAAATATCACTCACCGTCACCGTCACTGTTACTGAATGTGAGAGCTGGTTTTTCTCAAAGGAAGACGTCAAGTCACCACCAACAACGCAACGAATTAGGTCAGGTAGTTGCTTCTCTGCAACTTCTTGATTCATCATAAAAAGTCAATGGTACAGCAGATTATCCAGCCAGAGAGTGTATTTCATAATTGTCACATAGAAATCAACAGTCTCGTTGATGGTTTTCACGGAGTTTTCAGTTGAATTGTCCGCAGCCTTTTGTTATGGCGGGTATTTAGGTGGACACCACAGTTTAAAGATCGCCAGGTCAAGGTCAAAATGAGTTTGCAGAGCAAGTAGATGAGTTCCTTCCGTAGGAGAATCGACCCTGTTGAACAGATTGACACCCAAGTTAAGGGCAATTACAGAAAAAAGCAACCGAACCTTGAAACCACCGTAGTTCATTCAAATTACGATTATGCCATTTTGAGTAGCTGAACCACTCCTTCAATCGTGCTGGCGGGACCCTTGTTCCAATACATCTTCAGGCAAAGGACAAGAGCCCCAAAGCGCGTAGCCGCCGCCCTTCTACTAGCTTTTTTACCCTAAACTTTGCCTTCAATTGTTTACAGGCAAAGCAGCGATCGTGATTCATAACCCCAAACCCAACCAAACAACCAATGGGCTCGAGCAGACTCTGTTGAGCCCTTTCTCCCCTTACCAGCTCTGCATTATCACAATTCAGCCTACAACAATGTAAACTGGCAGCCACGGGTTCATGAGTGATGACACATTCATCATTCCCTCGACTCCACAGCAGAAGTTACAAAATGACCACCAAATTATATCAGAACTGCAACAACCACACACACACAAACCAATACAGACCACATTGCCCCCAAATCGAAACCCACATTGAGCAATCAAGTCCATTTTGTTCGTTCAATTCAAGAGGCCAAGCAGAAAAATAATGTATAGGCTTAGGTTGACAACCATCATTAGAATTTTTACAAAATACCATTTCTAAAATTCCCTAAACATTACTCTAAACAAGTCTTTTAGCCCAAAACTCCTGACCTAAAACAAACTTCTGTCCAAACAGAAAGTGCTCCTAGACAAACTCATCCCACTTGATAATCAACAGATCACTCTGATTGATGATAATATTCCTTTCCCCAGTTTTTTTCCTCCTCCACATAGCAAATACTGGGTTCTTTTTCTTCCTTTGTTTTTTCATGGAGAGATAAGGGACAAAAGAGATTTGACCTGTGAGAGTTAAATTTCTGGGTGATCCCCCTCCTCCATAGAACACCAGGAAAAAAACACAATTCTGCCTCCTATCGCTTTGATGGCCGCCGATCGTCCTCGTCCTCTTCACCATCATCGCCGCCATCACTGGCATCATCAGAGTCATCAGAGTCATCCTTGCTCGATCTTTTCCGTTTTGCGGCTGCAGATCTCGAGGCTTCTTCCTCGTCATCATCTTCCACCAAGTCCTCTTCTTCCTCATCGTCGTCTTCGTCCTCTCCGTTCTCGTCTAGTTCCAGATCAATCCCGTCTTCCTCCTCTTTTGGCCGCCGGCGAAGGATGTATTCGGCTCCAACGTCTTTCTGCGAAATATGATATCTATCATCATCAGTAGCCAAACAGAACAGCAAAGGAGGGGTGATATACGTCAGATCTGGTGAATTTTCTTTTTAGGTTGATACTTTCAAGCAGATGGAACGATTATAGAGGGATTTCGCAAGAATTAGTCAAGATCCAAGTAGAGTTTCAACGATTAAAGGAGCGTTACCTCTCCCTGATCATCTTCGTCGTCGACTTCATCATCCTCGTCGTCATCCTCACCTTCTTCGACGTCCTCTTCACCGTTCTCGTTATCGCCGAATAGATCGTCGTCATCGTCGACCGACTGTACAACTGGGGCCGCGGAGGAGTTCAACGCGGGCTCGGCTCCGTCATCCTCGACACCTTCCTCTACATCGTCCTCGTCGTCCTCGTTCTCGTCATAGATCTGGTAAAAGAAATATCATCTGGAATTAGTTTTCATTGACGAAACAGAGAAATCGGTTGTGTAATCGGAGATTGAGATAGAGAATTGAGTGTATTTACCACTCCCTGCTCCTCGTCGTCGTCGGCCTCATCGTCGTCATCGTCGTCATCTCCACCTTCGGCTTCCTCTTCGTTCTCAATCTCACCTTCGTCGTCATCGTCTTCTACCGACACGACAGCTGGACCGACGGCGGCGTTCAAGGCCTGCTCACCGTCGTCATCATCTTCAACGCCTTCATCCTCGTCGTCATCATCGTCGTCGGAGTCGTCGCCGTCGTCGTCATCCTCCTCCTCGTCATCGTCGACGTCCTCCTCATCTTCCGGCGCCTCGACCTCCGCCCCTTCCTCCGTGTCGCTGTCGTCCTCGTCGTCGTCGGTTGAAATTGCAATAACCTCCTCCTTCAAATCCTTCCCTTCCAGCTCCGTGATTTTCATGTTGCCTCTCCGCCCCAGCGAACAGATCGGGAAAATCTAACGGAAGCCAATGAAATTTTCAAATCTCTTTTCCAGGAAAATAATAATTATTGAAATCAGAAATTTTTTTGGGGAGCACAGCGAAGAGGATGGGGGAGGGGGGAGGAACAGAGACGAGCTGCTTCGTGTGTTGAACCAGTAGCTCTGCAGCTCCGATCCAGGCCGTCGAAACCTGGGACGACGCGGATCGATGAGCTGGAATGAGATCGGACGGTGGAGGTGGGAGAATATGTATTTTTGGAGGAGCCAGTGCGGCTGCGGCGCTTGAATACTAGTTTTTCCTCCGCGTTTTTCTTGGTGCCAGCAGGTGTGTATCACGCGCGGGAAAACGGATGGAGGCTTCTAGGGTTAGGGTTTTCCTTCAAGCCCATTTTAAACGATTAGTCATGGGCCGCAGCTAATTTTTGGGCCGCTTCTCTTATAAAAAATAAAATTACTGGGCCGCCTCACATTACAGGCCAATGCATCAAAACAAATAAGAGTCGTGCCACAGTCCATAATCGAAACCCATTCTGTACAATTTTTTTGGTGGAACCCATTCTAAATTACTAGGAGTGGTTTGCTTCGTGGATTTAGCAAACAATCGTCTTAGTTCTTATCGGCTCTATTACTAGTGTTACTAGTCAAAACCGGTAAAAAGTATACATGGTTCAAAATATTGTACATCAAGAATTCAAGATCAACCAAATTACTTTTGGTATATAGTGGAGATGACAGTTTATGAGATAAACAATTGCCACCTACAAAAGCAAAGCAGGAATAAGAAGATGTTTCCACAGTCTACTGTTACATTGTGGAAGAGAGTAACAATGTGTTTTCCCGGCGAGAAAAATAAAAGAAAGATGAAGGCTCAAATGTATTTGCAATCTGAAAAAATGTTATTAGAATGGAGAGAAAGGGTTTTGTACGTTTGTTTCAACCACATAATCCGGCCTCCACAACTCTAACCACTACTTAATGACCCTGCAAATCAGCTAACACAACTAACTAACCAACTACAAACACGCCACTACACTTGACACTTGGACAGGACTCGAATGACACAAATAGTTACTTCAGGGACTCTTAATGAAATAAACCGGACGACGACGTTTCCTTTATTGAACACACTGGGTTTGAAACTCAGACTTTGGCGCGCGTTTTGCTTCAATCCTTCTCCTGATAGGATTCGGATTCTCTGCAGCAGATCAGCATCCAACAAATCCTCCCCTGATCTGAAGCTTCTCGCACCATGAACTTCAGATCATCACTTCACATTGCTCGACCAACTTCTGCCATGTCACACACACCGAGTTTGCTTCTCAAAATCTGAAATGACTCCAGCTTTAGAGCCTTAGTCATGATATCTGCAACTTGTTCCTCAGTATGACAGTATTCAAGCTCAACCACCCCTTCCTTTACCAGTTCCCTGATAAAATGGAACCTGACATCTATATGCTTACTTCGACCATGCAGCACTGGATTTCTTGATAACTTAATGGCTGAGCTGTTGTCACAAAGTATGGTTGTCTTCTCTGCTACACTGCTGCTCCAGCCTACACTCTCAAGAATTCTCCTCAACCAGACACAGTGTGCTACACAGTAAGCAGCAGCTACATACTCTGCTTCAGTGGTGGAGAGAGTAACTATAGGCTGTTTTTTAGATGCCCAAGATACAGCCCCACCTGCAAGAAAGAAGACATACCCACTAGTACTTCTCCTATCATCCACATCCCCAGCATAATCACTATCAGTGTAACCCAACAACTGATCCTCCCCATCTCCCTTCTTGTACCAAATTCCAGAGTCTGCTGAGCCCTTGAGGTACCTTAGTACTCTCTTAGCAGCAAGTAGATGTTGTCGAGTAGGAGACTCCATGAATCTGCTCAGCAAACAGACTGTGTACATTACCTCAGGTCTGGTAGCAGTCACATACAGTAGACTACCAATCAGTTGCTTGTATTCTGTTGGATTTACTAAGACCCCATCACCTGCCTTAGATAATTTGACTCCTGATGCCAATGGATTGTGAACATAATTACAATCAGAGAGCTTAAACTTCTGCAGCAATTCCCTGATGTATTTTTGTTGACAGATAAAGATTCCAGAATCAGTTTGAGTGACTTCTATCCCCAGGAAATACCTCATTCTACCAAGGTCTGTCATTTTAAATTCAGCTTCCATGGATCTTCTGAAATCCTCAAGTAGAACTTGACTGTTGCTGGTGTACAGAACATCATCGACATAAAGACTGACAATAAGAATGTCAGCTCCAGACTTCTTGATGAACAAAGTATGTTCATATGGACACCTCTCAAAGCCAGTCTTGATGAAGTAGGATTCAATTCTAGCATACCAGGCTCTTGGAGCCTGTTTCAAACCATAAAGGGCCTTCTGCAGTTTGTATACCTTGTGTTCCTCCCCAGCAACCTCAAAGCCTTGAGATTGCTCCAGGTATACATCTTCAGTGAGTGCTCCATGGAGAAAAGCACTTTTGACATCAAGTTGATAGACCACCAGACCATAATGAGCTGCTAAGGCTAGGATAGTTCTGATTGTATCCCACCTTGTCACTGGGGCAAATACCTCATTGTAATCAACCCCTTGTCTTTGAGCAAAGCCTTTGGCCACCAGTCTTGCCTTCTTCTTATCCAGTTCACCATCTTCCTTCAGTTTGGTCTTATAGACCCATTTGCAACCAATGGGAATGACTCCTGCAGGAAGATCCACCAGTTTCCAGGTCTGGTTCTTTTCAATGCTATCAAACTCCAGATTCATAGCTGCTCTCCACACTGGATCTTGAACAGCCTCTTCAAAGGTCTGAGGATCATCAGCCAGAGCCACCATGACCACCCAGTCTGTATCTGTAAAACCACAGTCATAGATGGATAGGTGAGCTGGAGGCTTCCTTACCCTGGGAGGAAGACCAAGCACTTCAGTGTGTGAACCACCATCTTCATCTTCTGGATCATCTTCTGGATCATTTGATGTGGTCACTACTGCTGGTGTTGTAGGACTTGATGGTGAATCTGAAGAAGGTGATGAATTGTTGTCAGACTCTGGGAAGTCTTCTGTGTCAGTGTCAGAATCAATCCACTCATCATCTCTGTCATCCCAAACCAGCTGCTGAGATGTGGTTACTTCATCTGCATCTTTTGTCCAGCCATGACTCTCATCAAAACCACATCTCTACTCACTACTATCTTCTTGGTTGTGGGATTGTATAGCCTGTAGGCCTTTGACTCACTTGAAACACCAAGAAAGTGACATGTGGAACTCTTATCATCAAGCTTTTTCCTCCTCTGATCTGGAATATGGACATAGGCTATGCAGCCAAAGATTCGAAAATGTGAAACTGAGGGAGGACTACCTGTCCATAGTTCCTGTGCAGTCTTGCCTTGATTAGCAGTTGTAGGGCTTCGATTAAGAACATGTGTGGCCCAGGCAACTGCCTCAGCCCAGAATGTAGCAGGAACACTCATGTCTCGAAGCATACAACGCACCATGTTCATCACTGTGCGATTCTTCCTCTCAGCTACCCCATTCTGCTGGGGAGTTAAGGCAGCAGTCAACTGTCTTCTAATTCCAGCTTCATCACAAAGGTCCTTGAATTCTGTCAGCATAAACTCCCCACCTCGATCAGTCCTAAGACTTGTAATGGCCTGACCAGTTTCTTTCTCAATCTGAGCTTTGAACTTCTTGAACCAGGTCAGTGTCTCAGATTTAGCTGACAAAAAATAAACCCATAACTTGCGGCTGAAGTCATCAGTGATGGTAAAGATGTACTTCTTGCCACTGTTTGATTCTGGTGTGAGAGGACCACAGAGGTCAGCATGGATGAGTTGCAGCTTCTGAGAAGCTCTCCACTGGCTTTTCTTGGGAAATGGTTGTCTGTGTTGTTTTCCCACCAGACAAGTTGAGCAGACACCACCAGAATCCCCTTTCAATTGAGGTAGACCTTGAACCAAACCCTTTTTGTGCAGTTGATGCAGACTTTGAACATTGATATGTCCAAACCGTCGATGCCACAACTCCAGATTGAAATCTGAAGCATTCCTTCCAGTTTGCAGGCACTGGATATTTTGATTATCCTGTGCTGGTTTGGCTACAGTGGAATGTAACACAAACATTCTATTGGACTTCATTTCTGTTTGTAAGATCAGTCCCTTGTTTTCATGAAATATCTTGCAGCTCCCATCTTTAATCAAGAAGGAGAGACCCCTTTCCTGCCATTGACCAACACTCAACAGATTGGTCTTTAATCCAGGTACATAGAACACTTCCTGCACAGCCAAAGACAACTGATTCACAGCCAATTTTATAGTGCCTCTACCAGCAACTGTCAACTTAGAATTGTTGCCAAGTCTGACATTGCAGGTGAAAGCAGTGTCCAAATCAGTGAACCATTTCTTCTCTCCAGTCATATGATTAGAACACCCTGAGTCAAGAAACCACCAGTCTGAGTTCTTTTCTTCAGGAGTATCTTCCACAAATGCCATACAACAATCATGCTGGTTTGCCTCATCAGACAGGTAATCAACTCGAGCCATCAGCAACATGTCATCCTTCATGTCTCCATAAGATTGGTTGTCCTGCACATAACTGGAACTTGAGTAGTGAACTTGCTGATTAGTATACCAGTCAGGGCATTCATTCATGTAGTGGCCCAGTTTGTGACACTTATAGCATTCTACTGACTCCTTATTCCAGTTCCTTCCTCGACCTCTTCCTCTTCCAGCATAAAACCCTCTGCCCTGGCCTCTTCCTCCCCTACCACCAAAGTCATGGGAAGTTCTAAGAGCCTGGTCTTCTTCTGTCAGCTGCCTTTTAGCAAACTTCTGCTCATGGACAATCAAAGAGCTCTGTAGAGCATCAACAGACAGTTCAGCAGTGTCCTTGGATTCCTCAATAGAACACACCACATAGTTGTACTTCTCAGTGAGTGTCCTAAGAATTTTCTCAACAATCTGAACATCAGGCATCTCATCTCCACAATTGCGCATTGCATTGGCTATGGTCATAACTCTACCAAAATAACTATTCACTGACTCACCCTCCTTCATCTCAATTATTTCAAAGTTCCTTCGAAGAGCTTGTAAATGAGACTTCTGAACTCTAGCATTGCCTTGGAACTTAACTTTCATTGATTCCCATAGATCTTTAGCAGTACCTTTCTTTGAAATGGTCTTGAGAATGGTCTTGTCGATGCTGCCAAAGAGATAGTTTTTGGCTTTTAAATCCTTCAGCTTCAGATCATTGAGGTTTTTGGCTTCAACTTCATACAGGTTCTCAGCAGGTCTTTCTTGAAAGCCTTGTTCCACCACAGACCAGTATTCTTTGGAGCGAAGAAGATTCTCCATTAGGAGACTCCAGTGCTCATAGTCTCCATCAATCCGTGGTAGACCAACCTGAGCAAAGCCTCCTGATTCACTCATATTCACACTCTCACAAGATTTGCTTGATAGCTAGTCTTTCACTCACCTTGAAATCAGTAGCAACTCACGTTCACTCGTGTTTCCCAATCCCAGTCTGCAATTGACAGCAGAACCTTTCAACAAATCACTCAACCCTTGTCTGCAATTGACAGCAGAATTCCTCTCAACAAATCTCTCAACTAGTGCTTGAAAGCCTCGGTTACAGCTTGCTTGAGCTCTGATACCACAATGAAGGCTCAAATGTATTTGCAATCTGACAAAATGTTATTAGAATGGAGAGAAAGGGTTTTGTACGTTTGTTTCAACCACATAATCCGGCCTCCACAACTCTAACCACTACTTAATGACCCTGCAAATCAGCTAACACAACTAACTAACCAACTACAAACACGCTACTACACTTGACACTTGGACAGGACTCGAATGACACAAATAGTTACTTCAGGGACTCTTAATGAAATAAACCGGACGACGACGTTTCCTTTATTGAACACACTGGGTTTGAAACTCAGACTTTGGCGCGCGTTTTGCTTCAATCCTTCTCCTGATAGGATTCGGATTCTCTCCAGCAGATCAGCATCCAACAAAAGAGAATTGAATTTTGCAACTTTTTGACTTCCAAACAAACGATTAACAAACACCGTCCACACCTCTTTGAACAAAGTTCAAACAAGGGTGTTCGATGTTCTTGGTGATCTACGAGGCAAACTAAATTACATTAATTCTACTCCTATGGAGTTCGGTGAGAGCTTCAAAACTACAACTATGACTTCATTTGCAGAGGAAAAGGTAAATATAAAAAGATAAAATTTGACAATAGGTTGTCTGATGTGATTTTGGCAAACCCTTTCTCTGTCATCTTCACCTCCTATTTATAGCCACGAGAAGTAACTGCCCCAAGAAATGCTCTGCTGACATGGAGTGACGGTTACCCACTCAACTGCAATGACGGTTACCCTTGGATGTGAGATCCTCTTCAGTCTTGACTTCCTCCTCTTGAGACCTCAACCTCTGCTCTTGGCATCTCCTTCGTAGTTTTGCGTATCCATAGAGTAAAAATGGCTAAGGCATAAAGAAATACCACTTACCACATATGGGTGGGTATTTGAATAACATGAGTTAAAAATGGCAAAAAGTACTTCACCATTAGTAGAGTAAAGAGACCACCTGCTCACATGACCCCCTTGCCTTGGCCATACCATAGGGGTGTACATTGGTGACCCCTCACCCCCTGATCATACCATGGGGGGTGCTATGTTGGTGGTTCCCAGACCACCTCATGGGTGTGCTCCTTCACCCCCCTTGGTACCTCCTGGGGGTGGTGGTATGATACCCACCCCCTTGCCACGTCCAGGGGGTTAGGGGTGGCTATACGGTCCGGTCCGGTTAAATTGGCCCAAATTGATCCGGTCCAGTCCGGTCTTTTTGAAAATATAAGGACCGAAGATTGGATTGGATACAGTCCGGTCTTGATCCGGTCCGGTCCCAATTCGGTCTTGATTTTACATTGAGATTGTGGGATTTGAGTGGCCTAAGGCCTTAAAGGGTGAGGAGTTGGTTAAGTTTTGTACTAAGTGCAAAGGTTTGTGACCGTTTATGCAAATTACCCTTAAGTTTTGGGTGTTGAGCTCTCTTATCCGGTTTTTTACCTCAAATCTAAACCCAAAGATTGGATTGGATTGTTTACTATCTGGTCCCGACCCGGTCTCGGTCCGGGTTATACGGTACGGTTTTCGATTTTTAATCCGGTCCCGGTCCAAATAGCCACCCCTACTGGGGGTGGTGGTATGATTCCCACCCCCCTTGGTACTTCCTGGGGGTGGCTACCATACTACTTGCCTTAGCCAAATTCGGCAATAACCCCCATCACCATGTCATGGGGTGGCGGTATGATGCCCACCCCCCTCTGCGTGTCATGGGGGTGGCTCCCATACTTAGTCAAATTTGGATATGCATGGCGCGCGTGGTGGCACGGAGTAATGGGCCCAAAAACCCAATCCTCATGGCCCACTCAACTAATTTAAACTGATATGATTAAGTTGGCCTTATAAATCCATTTAATTCCTTGTTTTTAATCGATGTGGTACAAGGTTAATTTTTATGGGTAAACACAATGAAAAATAAGAAGCGTGTGTTGGTATCCTAGGTCATTCAGACTCTGAAACATGGTCACCACAATTGTAAATCAAGTTGTGCTTTCTACTTGTGTATGTATAAGGCGTCAAGCAGAAGTTTATCAAGGCATTCAATGACATCTCTAAGTTTAACTCTGATAACGAAATAACTCTTCAAATTCATGACATAAACACCCAACAAATGACTTGGTGAATCTCACACAACCCCTCTAACTATTCGTCAACAAGAAAACAATCGTGCGATGACCATCTCCAACCGACGTTGATATTACTATGCGATATCGCACTCCAATTATTCGTCGCTAAGAAAACACTCAATAACCATCTCCACTCCTCACGTTTTGGAGCATATGGCAGTTTAGATCATAAATGAAAGTATTCACAGGACACTCCCACGTTTCACATGCCATTGCCTGCTTCCTCCAACCTAAACGTTGCTCCCGAAACATTAATGCAAGCTGTGCTGGCTGCTGACCATAACGTCGCCGTCGACTACGACAGTAAAAAATCGCTTGAAATCGCAGCCATGAAGTAGAACAAAACTTCCTCAGTTGGGTGAATCCCCGCTGGCTCACGTGGCCTTACCATACACGCGGTCGCATACTATATATTCTCCTCCCCCTTCCCAATTAGTCTAATCATAATCATGTCATTAGTCCAAAATCCGGATCCTCCCTAATTTCCCTTCTTCTCTATTTTTTTGCAAAAATCCGCGCACAAAAAACAAATCCGCCGGAGTAGTTCGCGATGTGTCGGTGGCTGTACCGCTCCTACTTCCGGTGGCCGGAACTCGGCCTCTCCCTGCCGCTATCCAGCTTACGATGGCCGGAATTCGACTTCGCGTACCTGAGAACGGGGACGTGGTGGTGGTGGAGCCAGCCGAGCCCCCTCCGGTGGCTGGAATTCTCGATCGACGAGATTCTCTGGAGCTTGGCGACGGCGGTGGAGTCGGTGGCGCTCGTGTCCATGCTCTGTTACTTCTTCCTCTTCTGTGGATGCACTCTGTGACGGCGCATCCGGATTAGAGAGAAGTCTAAAAAATTCCTCCCATTGATCGCTTCAATTTCGTTTGTTTCTTCTCTCTGTAAATACACATATTGATCGTATCAATTGAATTATTTGATTTCTGATAATGTCTAAGTTAGTTCTTGTAAATCCTAATTAGCACTATAACAGATTAGTTAGTACCAAGAAGATTTGATTCTGAGAGCGGCGGAGTGCGGTTGTTTTGTGAGTTAAACGGGAAACCTTTTTTACAGTTTAATCAAGTTACGTATTTAATTATTATTTTGTTATTAGGCCCGCCGGAGATGGATTGGAATATTATCCTGTTTTTTGAATGGTGTAACGTAGACCGTAGAAGGTTGCGTTTTGGATTTCCATCTCTCTCGACTCTCGGGTTTTTTCTTTTCTTGTTGTGCATATCCAAATCCAAGTCCAAGTTGACTGTGTTAGTATTTGCGGTAAAGCCAAAACGTGGAAGCCAAAATTCTTTGGAGGACAAGAAAACACCAAGGGGTCGTTTGGATTAGAGAATGTGTAAATGAGGAATTTGGATTAAAATTTCTCAATTAAAAACTCAAGTATTTTAAACGTGGGATTTGATCCAAATAACATGTTTGGGAATAGATGAAGGATTTTAATTAAAAATTAAAGTTACAATTATACCCATCCCTAATCCCTAAGGAAGAATAAGAAAGGAAGAACAAAAGGAGGGGCAGAGCTTGGAAAAGAATGAGAAAAAATGAGTGATTGTGAAATAGCTGATCCCCATCAGCTATTTTAAAAACTCTCATATGAGAGATTTAGAATTTTCTCATGCCCACAATCTCTCACCTTTCCAAACACATAATTGTTTTAAAATCCTGCATAATGAGAGATTGTTTTAAAATCACTCATAAATCCCTCATCACATTCACTAATCCAAACGACCCCCAAAATGTTCATTACTAGTAGTATGGGTAAATCCAAGCAACCATTTTTATAGGAATACTGGAATTAATAGGACGATATCCTTCTTTTTATCTCAGTTGTGATACGGTGACTATGTTGGGCTAATTACCATCATTTTATTAAGATAATAATGTATTCTTCTCCATGTAGGCATATATCATATAGTCGGTCAGTCGGAAGATTAGTACAAGTTATTCATCGCCGTCTAAGTTGATACGGTACACAAATTTAACAAAAAATGCAATAATAATAGAGTTTATACCGTCAAATTGGCAATATTCGGTGATAACATCCAGTTTTGACGATATTACATAGGTGTAATGTTGATTGGTTAATTTTTATTTTAATAAAGGTTTTTAGATCCTTAGGGTATCAGTCAAATCATAAGTATACCACTAACGTACCATGCCATTAACTTGCCTAGTACTACATCATGTGCAGTTTTACAAACCGCGACTTAATGCGCTTTACGTAGCCAACAACCTGTTTCGAGTTTGAAAGAAAATAGTAGAGCTGTGAATTGTGAAATGTTTAGGTCCACCACGGTCCAAAAGTAAAAAAAAATTATGAACGAGACAGGATCATTAGTGCATTCGGTTCACTTTTTTCTAGTATTATTCAAAAATTATTTTTTGTGGGAAAGAGGGTGCTAATGGGCACCCTTAACCGTTATCATTAATAAGACAAGGAGTCTGAATCTCAATGAGATCGTAATACAACTAGTAATTAAGACGGGAATTAGGATGGCGGAGTCAGGAGAGGATGGAAACCCGAGATCATGTTGTGTCCAAGCGGTTATTCATTCAAAAATTTATAGCAGTAAGAATTGAATCACATTGTATTCGTCAAATTGAAATCGATTTAAGTGTCGATTTGATCTGGTATGATCTAAAAATGAACTTACATGTTGCACACACCTTGAAAGGTAGCTTTGGATGTAGGCTTTCATTGGCCATTTGGGCTGAATCAAAAGGTGAATGGAAAGCCCGGGCTCTATTGAAAACTAGCCTGGAGGGCATTGGCCATTTTGATTAATCCATCCTATGGGCCTTAATTAATTCATGGATATGAAATTAATTCTATTTTAAGCAATTTTGTCAGGACCGAATTGGAGTATGATACGGTAATGCAAACGGCTCGCATTTTAGTGGTCCAACCAACATTAGACCGTTTAAAAACCATTATAGAACCAGTACCTAATAAACGTTATCAGTATAAATAGTGAACATTTCTTAATCAGAGCTCGTCTCTGTCCTTCGAAATTGTGAAATGAAAATAAGGATTCAGTTTGAGAGCCCGAAGTTTTTTGTTTATTTCAATTTTCAATTTTCTGCAATTTTTTAATTAAATTTAATGGCTGAATGGTAAAAACCGGACAAGCGGCTCGATCGGTTAACCGCCTCGACCGCTAAATAAAACCGGAGCGACTTTTAGACGGTTTCAAGCCGGTTTTGTGACCGGGTGGCGGTTTTACCGGTCGGACCGAGCGGCTCGACTTGGCTTTAATAACACTGATTTTAAGAAAGAATATCCACAACAACCAATGCCTGGAACAATAATACCATTTGATAACGATTACAAAAATTCAAAGAAATATCCCAACCTTCCATTATAGTTCATAAAACAAAAGCTAACGCTTTCAATTAATCCTCCGCATAAAGCACGCAAGCAAAAGCACCCTACCAAAACCGTTGCTTTAACAGTATAAAGCCCCATTAAACTATACACACAGCTACACACATAACAAAATTAAGTCACTTAATTAAATCGTTCGACACCTAATAAGATTCGACGCCATCGGTCGACGCCTCAACTTTCCTTTGCAATATAAAACACCACTAACTCAAACGACTCCTCAAACCATAGCTAACAAGTAACATCGAATCCACACCCAACCCGAAAACCGGGGAAAAAAAAAAAAACATGACGATTTCGTCACAACTCGCCGCTCTAATTGCCGTCTCCTTCCTCCTCCTACTACTCCACCCCTCGGTCGCGAATTCGAACCTCATCGCGAAAACTTGCAAGAAGACTCCCGACTTCACCCTCTGCCTGTCGTCCCTCTCCGCCGTGGCTGCTCGAGCCACGACGGTCAGGGAACTGGCGCTCGCGATGATCCACGTGGTCGAGGCCAAGGCGATGACGACGCGTCGTCACATCAAGGAGCGTATCAGGGCGGCGTCGTTTCGTGGCGGTGAGGAAGCCGCTCTCAAGGCTTGCGACTTCTACTACGGGATTATTATCGACTATGACGTCCCCGGGGCGGTGACGGAAGTGAGATATGCGAATCCGAAGTTTGGGGTGGACTCGATGGTGGATTCCGCGAGAGAGGCTGGATTGTGTGAGGAGCAATTTCGCGGGATAGGTAGGTCGCCGTTGACCGGCGAGAATGTGGCCGTCCGGCGACTTGCCGATGTGGCGGTGGCCATCATTAAGAATGTTCGCTGATATGCAAAAAGAGTTGTAGATTTTGATCATGTTTAAAATTTGTTATGGTTTTTAATTTTTATAACGCAAATAAAATTGGTTCGTCTGTACATATGATCATGGGTAATTTCTTTCACAATGGATGCATCTTTCAACACATGGACCACTTAATCACAATTCATATTATTATTAATAAAAAAACTAGAGTATTATAGTACTGATCAATGCAACAAATAAATTATTCCAATGGACACACCAGCTGCGAGACGAATTATAATTTGCCGAAAATCATTAACGCGATGCCTCGTGGAATGGCATTGGCTGTGATGGTGCTGATCTCTATCAAAGCCAATGTCTCGTCGTTGCGGCGGGCCGAGCTGGTCCTCGGATCCGACGAGAGAGACGAGAGGCAGAGAGCGTTGTCGTCGGTTCTCTTGCAGGTTTGAATCAACAATGGTGTTGGAACCGCAATTGCGAGTGAAAGAAAGATGGGAAGGAAAAAGATAAGAGTGAAAGTGAAAATAATGGAGGTTGAGTTATTCATTTTAACTAGCCTATAGCCCGGCCCGTTGGCCGCATTTGTTTAAGGAAATGGAGTTACAATATCTATAATGATAGTGTCGAGAAATGAGTCTTTGTTTTATATTATCATAAGATTGTTGCAATTTTGCAATTCGTTGAAGACGAACATGTAATATGAATGAACATTCATAATAAGTTAGAAATACATTTGAAGATTAGCTAATCACAATAAAAATACTTACATGAAATTTTACTAATCACAAATCTAATCTAGTTGAGTATTACGACAAATAACATGCAAGTCCAAAATAAGAAAACTCAATACATTGTCTCATTGTTCATGACATGGTACTCAATTCAACAAAGGCAAAAATAATTTCACCAACACAAATTCACAATAACCAAATGCATCGTTCCAGGGACCGACTGTGACCATGACTTCAAATGTCTGTTCTCCAAGCATGTTCAGAAGGGCCATATAGTCAGCATTGACAACATCTGCATGACTGAATACAAATTCAACAATCGTTCGTAACTGTGATGACGGGAAGACGATGTCAACACCAATGAATTCGTCCTCAATTGTGAGGTGGACGAAATGGATTCTGGATGCAGGGGACCAGGACGTCGTCAAATTTGTTACACGTCCGGATAACAAAAAAGAGGTGCCCTGATGTAAACACAGAAACGAATATTGTCAAAGCAAATCGATAAAATGCAGCATGCCACAAAAGGCGTACGATTAAAAAGAAATTTATTTGTTTAGTTACCTGATTTTCGACATCCACTTGCAACATAATGAGATCGATGGTGTCGGCACGCTCACAAATTTCAAGAGCATCATCATATTGCAGATTAGCAATAAAACCATGGGGAAGCCTATATATTGGACTGTAAGTTTTGGCATTAAGTAGTGAAAAAGAATCGAATTTACATGATGTAGTATTTGTTGGATGCATGAGCAGTACTTACTGATTGAATTGAGGCAGGCCCGCCATATTGAATGCAATTCTCACGGTCAATGGAACCGAAGTGTTTTGTATGGGAAGTAGTAAACGGAAATTGTAACATGAGAGAAAGTGGTATCTCCATTATATAAAGGAGAGAAAGTGATTCTACACACGTGATTTACTTGGCCGCATGCAGTGGAGTACGTGTGTGTGTGTGGAAAGTGGGATAGTGGGGGAGTGGAGAAGGATTTGTGGCCTCGTGGGGGAGTGGAGAAGGTTGGCCATTTAGAGTTCAAGAGGCGGGTGTGTCACGGAACTCACGACCCACCTTCCTTTTTTTTTTTTTGAGGGGAACGACCCACCTTCTTAAAATCAAACATGCGTCTTCCTTTTATTTTGTTGCAATTAAAAATTCAAAAACAAAAGAAGGTAAGTACATAATAAAATATAAAGAGAAGAAAAATCAGTTCACTTTTCCCAAAAAAGACCTAGCAGCCGCCCAAATTATGCTTTTTCAGTTTTAATAATTCTCACTTTATTCTTTTATCTCTAATAAGTGAAACAATAATTGTAAAAAAAATAATTGTTAAGTCTACCAAGTAAGTCAACACCGGTTTATGATCGGTTTTTAATATCGATTAACCACCGGTTATTTGATAAACCTTGAACCCTTTACTAATCCGGATCGATGTCCGGTTCCGTTTTAACAACATTGCTAATTGCGACTGTGTCAACAATTCTTGTCCAAAATTGCCTCTCAAAGTTGCTAATTATTATTTGATGCGCCAACCCGGCCGGCCCGGCCCACACCACCACTAATTAACATGAAATGAAAATCATAATGAATGTATTTATAATAAATAAATAATGGCTTGGAATGCGGCAGCCTTTGAAGACTCAAAATATTGCAAACTGACAATTCTCATTAGAATAATGAATCGAGAATAAAAGGAACTTGTTTCAGCCACAAAACATGGCCTCCACGACTCACACTACAACTATACATGTCCTGCAAATCAGCACCAGTAACCCAACTTCCCTGAAAACACTCGACAACTACTAACAAACTCCAGGACCTTACTGACACAAATAAACAACCAAGGACTGAACTAGAAAATAACCAAACGACATAGTTTTCTTTATTGAGACACAAGCTGAGAAGGATTCCCAGCTTCAGTTTCCTGCTCCAGCTTTGCTTCCAACAAATCCTCCCCTGAACTGAAGCCGGGGTTCAGGCATTCAGTTCACATCTTCAGTTCCAACTTCGTCTACATCAATCACCCCAAGCTTGCTTCGCAGCAGCTGAAATGACTCCAACTTCAAAGGCTTAGTCATTACATCCGCCACCTGCTCTCCAGACCTGCAGAACTCCAATTCAATTATCTCTGCCTTCACTAGGTCTCGCAGAAAATGGAAGCGAACATCAATATGTTTGCTTTGTCCATGCATAACTGGATTTTTTGCTAATTTAATCGCAGAACTGTTGTCACACAGTATCTTAGTTCCAGCTGCCACACTTCTGCCCCATCCCATTTCTTCTAGAATCCTTCGAAGCCATATGCACTGTGATGCACAGTAAGAAGCTGCAACAAATTCAGCTTCAGTAGTAGAAAGAGTGACAACTGGTTGCTTCTTTGAGGCCCACGAGATGGCTGCTCCAACAAGAAAGAACACATATCCAGAAGTACTTTTCCTATCATCACAATCACCAGCATAATCGCTGTCAGTATATCCAAGCAACTATACTTCCTCCCCATGATTCCTTTTGTACCAAATTCCATGATTCAATGTTCCTTTGAGATACCTCAATACCCTTTTAGCTGCTAGTAGATGCTGTTTTGTTGGAGAATCCATGTACCTGCTGAGCAAGCAAACCGAGAACATGATGTCAGGCCTTGTTGCCGTTGCATAGAGCAAACTCCCAATCAACCTTTTGTATTCTGTCGAATTTACAGGAACTCCATCTCCAGCTCTTGTCATCTTAACTCCTGGTGTGATTGGGTTGTGAATAAAATTGCAATGCTGCAGTCTGAACTTGTCCAGCACTTCTCTGATGTATTTTGGCTGAGTGATAAAAATTCCAGCATCAGATTGAACCACTTCAACCCCCAGAAAGTACCTCATCTTACCCAAATCAGTCATCTCAAATTCTGCTTGCATAGATGCCTTGAACTCTTCAATCATTTCATCATTGTTGCTGGCATACATTAGGTCATCAACATATAGGCTTACAATGAGAATTGAACCAGAATTACCTCTCTTTATGAACAAAGTATGTTCATACTGACACTTTTCAAACCCAGCAGCAATGAAGTAGGCTTCAATCCTACTATACCAAGCTCTAGGGGCTTGCTTGAGCCCATACAGAGCTTTATTAAGCCTGTATACCTTCTTTTCCTCCCCAGCAACCACAAAACCTTGTGGTTGCTCTACATATATTTCTTCAGAAAGCTCTCCATGAAGAAAAGCGCTTTTGACATCCATTTGATACACAGTTAGACCATGATGGGCAGCAAGGGCTAGCAGAGTTCTGATGGTGTCCCAACGAGCAACAGGGGCAAAAACTTCAGTGTAATCAATCCCCTCCTTCTGTGCATATCCCTTGACCACCACCCTGGCTTTGAATTTGTCCAATTCTCCTTTTTCTTTAAGCTTGGTTCTGTAAACCCACTTTAATCCAATAGCCTCAAATCCTTCAGGCAGCTCAGTAAGAGTCCAAGTCTGGTTCTTTTCAATTGATTTCATTTCAACTTTCATCGCCTCATTCCATCTAGGATCCAAGCAGGCTTCTTCATAAGACTGAGGATCATCAGTGGTGGCCACCATGAGCATCCAATCTGTGAAGGTAAAGCTGCAGTCATAATCATGCAGATGTGTTGGTGGTTTGCTGACCCTTTTGCTGAGACCAGTGCTGGGCAGCCCCAGAATATCAGTAGTAGGTTCTTCATCAGATTCTTCATTCTCCTGATCTGCTTGTGAGGAACCAGCCATTGCAGGAGTTCTGGGACTTGGTGTTGAGTCTGCCTCAACAACTGGATCTACTAAATCTTCAGGAACATCCTCAGAGTCTGAATCCCACCAATCTTCATCACTGCCTTCCCAAACCAGTTTTGTCAGCACTGGTGGAGTAGTAGAATCCCAGCTCCAACCCTTAGATTCGTCAAATACCACATCTCTGCTGATGACTACTCTTCTGGTGATAGGATTGTACAACTTATAAGCTTTGGATTCCACTGAAAGGCCTAAGAAGTGACATTTTTCACTCTTATCATCCAGTTTCCTTCGTTGTTGATCAGGTATATGCACATAAGCAACACAACCGAAAACTTTGAAATGAGAAACTGATGGTTTTCTGCCAGTCCAAAGCTCTTGAGGTGTTTTACCTAGATTGGCGGTTGTTGGACTTCTGTTCAGCACATGAACAGTCCAATCAACTGCCTCTGGCCAGAACTCAGATGGAACTTTCATGTCTTCTAACAAGCACCTGACCATATTCATAACTGTCCTGTTTCTTCTTTCAGCAACCCCATTCTGTTGAGGTGTGAAAGCAGCAGTGAGTTGCCTTCTTAAACCTAGTTCATCACACAGCTCTTTGAGTTCATTCAGCATGAACTCACCCCCACGATCAGTTCTGAGACACTTGATCTCCAGGTCAGTATCCTTTTCAACTAGAGCTTTATATTTCTTAAAGCAATCCAAAGTTTCTGATTTGGCAGCCATAAAATGAACCCACATTTTCCTACTGAAGTCATCAATAAGGGTAAATATGTACCTCTTTCCTCCATTTGAAGCTGGAGAAATTGGGCCACATAAGTCTGCATGGATCAGCTGGAGCTTATGTGTTGCTCTCCACTGACTTTTCTTTGGAAAAGGCTTTCTGTGCTGCTTCCCAATCTGACAGGTACCACAAACTCCAATAGTTCCTTGTAACTTAGGCAGGTCCAACACATGTTCTTTCTTTGACAACTGATCCAGACTAGAACTGCTGATATGCCCAAATCGACGATGCCACAGCTGGAAAGACTGATTTGGTGCAGCAACAGTTTGGAGACAATGCATGTTTTGGTCTGCTGCTTTGCATTCAGCATGAATGGCAAACATTCGATTGGATTTCATCTCAGTTTGAAGAAGTAGTCCTGTTTCATTGTGGAAAATCTTGCAGTAGCCATCTTTGATTAAGAAAGCTAGACCTTTTTCTTGCCACTGGCCCATGCTTAACAAATTTGTTTTGAGTCCTGGTACAAAGA